CAACAGTATCCCCACAATGTATATCACACAACAGTATCCCCACAATGTATACCACACAACAGTATCACCACAATGTATACCACACAACAATATCCCCACAATGTATATCACACAATAGTATCCCCACAATGTATATTACACAACAGTATCCCCACAATGTATACCACACAATATCACACAACCCCAGTATCCCAACACAATGTATATCACACAACAGTATCCCCACAATGTATATCACACAACAGTATCCCCACAATGTATATCACACAACAGTATCCCCACAATGTATATCACACAATATTACACAACAGTATACCACACAACAGTAACCCACAATGTATATCACACACAACAGTATCCCCACAATGTATATCACACAACAGTATCCCACACAATGTATATCACACAACAGTATCCCCACAATGTATACACACAACAGTATCCACAACAGTATCACAATGTATATCACACAACAGTATCCCCACAATGTATACCACACAACAGTATCCCCACAATGTATATCACACAACAGTATCCCCACAATGTATATCACACAACAGTATCCCCACAATGTATATCACACAACAGTATCCCCACAATGTATATCACACAACAGTATCCGCCCACAATGTATATCACACAACAGTATCCCCACAATGTATATCACACAACAGTATCCCCACAATGTATATCACACAACAGTATCCCCACAATGTATATCACACAACAGTATCCCCACAATGTATATCACACAACAGTATCCCCACAATGTATATCACACACACAGTATCCCAACAGTATCCCCACAATGTATATCACACAACAGTATCCCCACAATGTATATCACACAACAGTATCCCCACAATGTATATCACACAACAGTATCTCCACAATGTATACCACACAACAGTATCCCCACAATGTATACCACACAATAGTATCCCCACAATGTATATCACACAACAGTATCCCCACAATGTATACCACACAACAGTATCCCCATAATGTATATCACACAACAGTATCCCTATAATGTATATTACACAACAGTATTCCCACAATGTATACCACACAACAGTATCCCACAATGTATACCACACAACAGTATCCCCACAATGTATATCACACAACAGTATCCCCACAATGTATATCACACAACAGTATCCTCACAATGTATATCACACAACAGTATCCCCACAATGTATATCACACAACAGTATCCCCACAATGTATATCACACAACAGTATCCCCACAATGTATATCACACAACAGTATCCCCACAATGTATAATGTATATCACACAACAGTATCCACCCCCACACACAACAGTGTATATCACACAACAGTATCCCTATAATGTATATGTAAATGTATACCACACAATAGTATCCCCACAATGTATATCACACAACAGTATCCCCACAATGTATATCACACAACAGTATCCCCACAATGTATACCACACAACAATATCCCCACAATGTATACCACACAATAGTATCCCCACAATGTATATCACACAACAGTATCCCCACAATGTATATCACACAACAGTATCCCCACAATGTATATCACACAACAGTATCCCCACAATGTATATCACACAACAGTATCCCCACAATGTATATCACACAACAGTATCCCCACAATGTATATATATCACACAAGTATCCCCACAATGTATCCACACAACAATGTATATATCACACAACAGTATCCCCACAATGTATATCACACAACAGTATCCCCACAATGTATATCACACAACAGTATCCCCACAATGTATATCACACAACAGTATCCCCACAATGTATATCACACAACAGTATCCCCACAATGTATATCACACAACAGTATCCCCACAATGTATATCACACAACAGTATCCCTATAATGTATATCACACAACAGTATCCCTATAATGTATATCACACAACAGTATCCCCACAATGTATATCGCACAACAGTATCCCTATAATGTATATCACACAACAGTATCCCCACAATGTATATCACACAACAGTATCCCCACAATGTATATCACACAACAGTATCCCCACAATGTATACCACACAACAGTATCCCACAATGTATACCACACAACACAATGTATATCACACAACAGTATCCCCATAATGTATAGCACACAACAGTATCCCCACAATGTATACCACACAACAGTATCCCCACAATGTATACCACACAACAGTATCCCCACAATGTATATCACACAATAGTATCCCCACAATGTATATTACACAACAGTATCCCAACAATGTATATCACACAACAGTATCCCCACAATGTATATCACTCAACAGTTTCCCAATAATGTATATGTATATCACACAACAGTATCCCCACAATGTATATCACACAACAGTATCCCCACAATGTATATCACACAACAGTATCCCCACAATGTATACCACACAACAGTATCCCCACAATGTATATCACACAACAGTATCCCCACAATGTATATCACACAACAGTATCCCCACAATGTATATCACACAACAGTATCCCCACAATGTATATCACACAACAGTATCCCCACAATGTATATCACACAACAGTATCCCCACAATGTATATCACACAACAGTATCTCCACAATGTATACCACACAACAGTATCCCACAATGTATACCACACAACAGTATCCCCACAATGTATATCACACAACAGTATCCCCACAATGTATACCACACAACAGTATCCCCATAATGTATATCACACAACAGTATCCCCACAATGTATATCACACAACAGTATCCCCACAATGTATACCACACAACAATATCCCCACAATGTATATCACACAACAGTATCCCCACAATGTATCCCACACAACAGTATATCACACAACAGTATCCCCACAATGTATATCACACAACAGTATCCCCACAATGTATATCACACAACAGTATCCCCACAATGTATAACACACAACAGTATCCCAAAAATGTATATCACACAACAGTATCCCCACAATGTATACCACACAACAGTATCACCACAATCTATACAACACAACAGAATCCCCACAATGTATATCACACAACAGTATCCCCACAATGTATATCACACAACAGTATCCCCACAATGTATATCACACAACAGTATCCCCACAATGTATATCACACAACAGTATCACACACAACAGTAACAATGTATATCACACAACAGTATCCCCACAATGTATATCACACAACAGTATCCCCACAATGTATATCACACAACAGTATCCCCACAATGTATATCACACACAGTATCCCCAGTATATCACACAACAGTATCCCCACAATGTATACCACAACACAACAGTATCCACACACAACAGTATCCCCACCCACACAACAGTATCCCCACAGTATCCCCACAATGTATATATCCCCACACCACAACAGTATCCCCACAATGTATACCACACAACAGTAACCCCACAATGTATATCACACAATAGTATCCCCACAATGTATATTACACAACAGTATCCCCACAATGTATACCACACAACAGTATCCCCACAATGTAAACCACACAACAGTATCCCCACAATGTATACCACACAACAGTATCCCCACAATGTATATCACACAACAGTATCCCCACAATGTATACCACACAACAGTAACCCCACAATGTATATCACACAACAGTATCCCCACAATGTATAACACACAATAGTATCCCCACAATGTATATCACACAACAGTATCCCCACAATGTATAGCACACAACAGTATCTCCACAATGTATATATATCACACAACAGTGTCCCTACAATGTATACCACACAACACTATCCCCACAATGTATCTATGTATCTTACCTTAGACATCCTCACCCTACAGTTTGTCTTGTGTAGTGCATAGCCCAGTAACATCCCCACAATGTAAGGAGCAATCCGTGTGTACATCTTGTTGTAAAGAGGAGCATGCTGACCATAGTAATTATCCTTGTGTTTTGTGACTGCTTGGCTAGACAAAACAGATTGATGAGTTAAACAACATCGAAAGGACTCTTTTTGTTGGTGATACATTTCTACGTAGTACAAACAGTATTATAAAAGAACGTATTTCTTAAGCTTCATGTTTTAGTCTTTGCCTTAAACTGTTGTGCATGATACTGAATATATCTGTTTACTGTCTAATAGCATGTTATGTTAGCTTGCAATATTGTCTATGTTACATACAACCTGTTCAAATCCATTTAATGCTAAGATTCTGAATGATTTTATATACAATTTTTAAAGTAAACATCATTGCAAAAATATTATCTGCACACATGTTTGTATATTTTCTTGGTTTATTTATTCATGGGCAGCTAAGGTTATTTGAGACATGGTCTCCTTGTAGTGCGTGGTGACTTCCTCACACAATATCAATATCTGTTATACAAAAGGTTGGTGTAAAGTATCCAGTCAAACAGCAATAATATGACTGTACGGGACGAACTGAGAGACACGAATCAGTCCTAGGTAGGGATCGAACCGTACACCTCAAAACTTTATCCAGTTATGGATTTTTTGTGATGCTCTCCCAACTGAGCTATCACAGCTCACTGCTGGATCCGTCTACCAATACGATACAAATGAATATTGTTTGCCATGTTTCCTCAGTTTAGTTAACAGACAAGCTTATGAAAAATTAACCAAATGCTTACTTTGGCACATGAATTCCAAATTCAAAAGCTGTCATTGCACGAATAAAGATACATGCTCCAATCAAACCTCCACACACTGCGAAGCCAATTTTACGATACCTGGAGAAAGAACACAAACAAGGAACATTATTTAATAAAAATTTATGTATATTATGTATACATATCCATAAAATACTATTATTGTATATTATGGTCCTTCCTCAGTGTTAAATCTTGTATTAACAGGTGTGTAGTATATCATTAGACAATAATTAATAGGATATCATTTTGGTGTCATGGTCAACGCAGATAAACACATTATTGCATTTCGTAAATCATTCAGGTAACCAAGATTTTATGGTAGCTATTCCAATAGATAACGATACATTTACTTGGAAAAATCAACTGATGACTGAATTAAATAGACACAGCTAAGTTTTAAAATAATACAAAATTAATTTAAATATCACTATTAAACAGTGATAATTGTCAATTTAAATGCACTCACAGCAGATGAAATAATCATGATTTCCTGATGAATGTCAATCTATTTACCTGTAGACCCATATTGCATTCACATTGACAATGAATGCAATCTGATGACCATTCAATGGTTTAATAAACTGTAAGTGCCACGCCTGATATCATATCTTAAATAGATATTGATATCAAACATTAACAGCTTTCAAAAGAAAACATCAATTCTAAAGATGTGCTAAAATATGTTGTTTTTTGTTTAAAGTGAGACAAGTTTGTTAAATAGCGTTGCCTTAATATAGGTTCTTATTATCAATCAAGGATTACTTATCCAAAATATATTAGAGAGCTAAAGCTAAAGAGACTGAGAGACAATGGTTGCTGAGCGATTTATGAAATACCATGAAAAATATCATAACTGTGTCTTCACAATGAATTTTCACCAATCAAACTTACCGATACAGAAGAATCAGGATGATGGGACTGATGATATAAAACTGCATATCATTGGCTAAATACCAGGACCATCCCATACACTGAAAGTAACAAAATGTTATCAATAAAAAAGGTTTACAGACTATCATTAGAATGTCAAAGAAAATATCACAGCTAGTACACGTGAATAAAGGGCTATAAATACAGGGGCCTGCGTCGCTAACATGGTGCTGATCAATGAATGTCTGAGGTATCTCTTTACGCCTTCTAGAAATTATAAATAAGTGATCAAAAAGAAATCTTGGCACCCACCACTGAATGGTCCTTAGTTCTTCTTTTAAAGTTTGATATTTTATCTACTTTTCTCTTTTTTTCTTTTATTTGCTATTATTTACAGAAAATTCAAGAAAATCTCTGAAAATTATCAATAACTGTATTTCTCCAGATATATCATAAACTAACATACACTACCAAAATCCGAGATAGCTGAGTGTCTGCCATTTTATATTTCTGATCTAGCTCAAAATTGAAAATGTACAACATGGGAAAAAGGAACCTACATATGAAAATTTGAAAGACTATCATTCAGTGCTTCAAGATACTAACTTTTATTGTCAAAACCATGCAAAATGGCTGCCAGTCAGCCATTTTGGTTTTACTGATAAGTTCCATTATCGAGAGGGAACAATAGATAACCTTCATGACATTTGAGAAAGATTCATCTGACACTAATCTCCAGAAATAGATATACCCAGCCATCATCAACAATATAATTACCCTTGCATCCCAAAGTTGTACAAAAGGCCATGGGTAAAGCGAAACTTAAAATGATTTGGTCTGTTTCATGAACTGGTCTGACCATGAGAAGTGTGTGTAAGATAATAAATTATTACCATATGTCATAAATGTTGAATCTTCGAGTAAAATTGACTTGAAAAACTCTATTAAGTCCTATTTATAGTAACAGTGTTTACAGTTTGGTAACAGTGACCTAGTTTTTGGCATTTGAAAAAGAAACGCAGATTGTAGTATAGAGCAGTGATGTAAAACAATTCTGAAAATTTCTGTTTATTGTGATGGTGACCCACATTTTGAGAGCAGAAGGTTGAAATATGAACTTGAAGCCAGAGGTAATTTTTTTTTCTAAGTTTCACGACAATCAAAAAAATAAATGCAGCCTCAAGAGCAGTGACGTCTTTCTGGACAAATACCTTTTATGACTTTTGTCATGTGGGTATCACAAACTTAAAAAGAAAATATAAGATGGCCACCTGCCAGCCATTTTGTTTTTTAAACTTAAAACCAAGAGGAACCTTTGAATCTTTGATGGATTACAGATGGATCTACCATAGACACGGAGTGCAATTTGAATAATCATAGATATGACAAAGCACCTTAAACTTTTCTTGTTATTTTTAGTCAGGTGAACTAAAACTCTCTGAGCTAATTGATTAAATGACCTGAAGTCAGGTAAACTAAAACTCTCCGAGCTACATGTAATTAACTGACCTGTTGATTGATATCACCAGAGTATGGGTAGTAGTTGTTTATATAGAGAATGTTTGCCCACCACGACTTGGAGCACTCATTGATAAGAGCCTGAGTCTGTGGGGTGGACCTCCACACTGCCATCGGCCCTCTCAGGGTGTGAAAGAATAGAGAACCCCAGATCATGATACAGAAGGCATACACTGGGGTCAGTCTGAAAGTTAAACATAACATCAATTAGTCCATACTGATACTGGTCCTTTTAGTTTGTGATACAAAATTTTACCTTGATGTGGGTTAAAGGTCAAAATGTTGGTAAGAGTGACCTACTTATGATACAGGACACTCTGGCCACCTCACCAATGTGAACCCATACTCTTAGTAGGAAGATCCAGTGATGTAGGAGACAGTGTCTGGACAAACTTTTTCTTTGATGTAGGTCAGGGGTCCAAATAAAGGCCACAGTGACCTAATTTTGATACAGACACATCCTTACCAAAGTTCCAGAGACAAAACCAAATGAAAGAACATAAGGGAAAACTACCATATCGCAAAACTAAAGTCTCTCTCAACCATTCAAAGTCTAAAAATGTAAGAACATGGTTAACAAGGAGACTACAAGCCAAGTGAAGTCACACAAACTCACTTACCGCCAGTACCGATGAAAGTAGAACAGCACCCAATTAAAAGAATCTGTGCTCTCCTGTCTATTCTTCAAATACAGGTAGGTCACCAGTAATCCACTATAAATAAAAACAAAACAGGTAGGTCACCAACAAACATCTGTAAACACAACACAGGTGTGTCACAAGGAAAACTCTGTAAACACATTACAGGTATGTCACCAACAAAATGCTGTAACGACAATACTGGTAAATCACAAGCAAAATGCTGTAAATACAACACAGGTAAATCACAAGGAAAACTCTGTAAATACAATACAGGTAGGTCACCAGTAATCCACTATAAATAAAAACAAAACAGGTAAACACAACACAGGTGTGTCACAAGGAAAACTCTGTAATTACAATACAGGTAGGTCACCAACAAACATCTGTAAACACAATACTGGTAAATCACAAGCAAAATGCTGTAAACACAGTACAGGGAGGTCACAAGCAAAATGCTGTAAACACAATACAGGTATGTTACAAGGAAAACTCTGTAAATACAATACAGGTAGGTCACCAGTAATCCACTATAAATAAAAACAAAACAGGTAAACACAACACAGGTGTGTCACAAGGAAAACTCTGTAATTACAATACAGGTAGGTCACCAACAAACATCTGTAAACACAATACTGGTAAATCACAAGCAAAATGCTGTAAACACAGTACAGGGAGGTCACAAGCAAAATGCTGTAAACACAATACAGGTATGTTACAAGGAAAACTCTGTAAATACAATACAGGTAGGTCACCAGCAAACATCTGTAAATACAATACAGGCGTGTCACATGGAAAACTCTGTAAATATAATACAGGTTGGTCTCAAGCAAACTGCATAAAGATAAATATTATCCAAGTAATCTAGTAAGGCTGTTTATTATATAGAATAAATCTTTACTTTCTAAGAGACTGACTTTGAGGAACTTCATAAAGTTTTCTGGAAGAAGGATTATCCATAAGAAGAAAAGGACCAATTAAGCTATTCTTACCTCATGAAGAAGAAGGTGTCTACTGACACAGTGGCATTGATAATGGCCTGGAAGGAGAATCGCTGTATAATCTTCACTGCTGCTAAAGAATTTTCTGGAATGAATTTTGAGAAGTAGTTCAGATTATTTGTTAAAGATGAGTTATGTTGGATTTTGGACCAAATTGAAAGAGAAAGATTTTGTCAGGACAATCTCAGGATTGAATCATGCATGTTTGATATCATTGCCACTCCCTGATGTTTCAGGTGGATTAAAATATACCCAAGACTAATGTTCTAGAGTCAGAATGGAAGGACTCTTAAGACTTACATTTCCTCAATTGGGCCCACCCCTCCCAGGGAGTGATGATAAACCATTTATACAAAATTGATTCCTCTTCACCCAAAAATTCTTCACACTTAATTTGGACAAAATCCAATAATTCCTACAGAAGGAGTAGGATTTTAAATAATTTGCTGTATTACCCCTATCGGATCCTGCCCTTAAGGTCCTAAGGGGCCGAATCCTACCTTTTATACAAAACTGATTCCCCTTCCCGGACGGATACCAAGGTATGCCATAAACTTCAGGCCTGGTGAGTTTAAAATGTCACCTAAGTCCATGTTTGCAAAAAAAATAAAATGATCTCAGGCTTACGAAAAGTCCATACATTTACATGTGTATTAAATGTTCTTACATACCTACAGTCATTCCTAAACTCGCAAAGAGGTAAGTGTGTCCAAGTATGATCCAGAACATACTCAACACACGCATGCCATTGAGAGATGTAAGATGACCAGAGGAGGTAGAAGTGGACAGCAGTTTTCTTGTATTGGTCACTATAGAAAAAGCCACTGCGACCTGACAAATCTTTCCTGTGACGAAGATAAATTCATTCAACATACATTGCCAACTGATGAAAAATACATCAGAGAAAAAAAGGGTTTACTGGCTTTGAATGACTTCCACTGGCTCAACAACAGGTCCTATTTACATATTTAGATACAATACAAATTAAATTCCTTGTTAAATGAGAAGAGTACTCGCAATCAAAGAATCTGCAGTTTAATGCCTGATCTTTTTTTGTTTTCTTTTTCATCATTTTTAAGTTTGTTTCTTAACACTAAAATTTCTCCTAACTGTTTTACATGGTTATGCCGTAAAATGACCAAATCCAACTTTTGCAGATAGGGAATGCTGTAGTTATAATCATTATGGGACAGGTTAGGAACTGAAATTAACTTCTCTTACCCCTATTTGGTTGTGGTGGGTTCAGTCGTTGACTCTGTATCTGGCCTGAGGATGATGTCTCATTCGACAGTACACTTGTTCTACCCATCGTTTCATTATCCTCAACCAATATCACATAGCTGTTACTGCTTTTTTGCCTTCTCTCGTTAAAGGTCACCACAAGGTCAACTATAGTTCCAATAGTTACCAACATAACAATTACACCACAAACAGCCCTGTAAATAAACAAAATCTAAAACATGTGTGTACATAGTTTGTTTCTTAATTTTCAAATTTATTTATCATGTTTCTTGAACAGAAACTATTTTCTCATTTTCTGATCTTTTCTCTGATCAAATAAAACGTTTCTTTGATTCAGCAATATCTCTGATTTTGACTTCTGTTTCTGCAACAAAAGTCATTTACAACATAAAACCAAAAGCAGGACAAATGTAGATGACCTTGTATTCTTTATTCCTCTCAAACATGCCACTTACAATGGTTTATGATGGTACAGAAAAATCATTTGTTAGCAAGGAAATGTTATACATTCTGCATGTATCCTGGTCATTTATGAGAGTTTTTAAATTTGTTCTGATGTATTTATGATAAACAACTGCATAATAAAATGTTTGGTAAAGTATAAAGAACAATCATTTTGAATTAATAAGTTTTTCTTGTTTTCTTTTTCATTTTTTATGTTTTTTAGAATTTTTTTCTGATATTATTTTGGAAGGGTTAGGGAGGGGATAATTAGGATTTCTATTCAACAAAAGTATATTTGGTTGACATTTGCACACTATTACTGCAATCTTACGTACAACGCAGCTTTAGCTCCTGCAGTATACGGCATTGATTCCTCACAAGCCATACCGGTCTGGTCAGGTTCCTTAAGAAAGCCTGTATAATATATCAGAAAATTACCAACAAATACTGTCCTTTTACTTTTTTCAGTGCAAAGATTTTAGAAATGAAGAAAAAAATAAGAGGCCGATGGGCCTTAATGGTCATTTGACGATAAAGACCAATATAAAAAAGACACCAAATAGGCATAAAATGAATTGCACAACAACTCTACAGCTTACAAAGAAAACATTGTTGGTTCATTAAAAAATTTTTCAGCAAACCTGAAGTCATCTGAATGGAAAGTTTACACACGGCAGACAAGCCAAGGCATTAATTCCAATGTTTTATAGTTCATTAAGCATATATTTCACTAATTTATATGTAAGATCCAATCAAAACTTAGGATGCTAGTGGAATTAAAATCACATTCATGAAAAGTTCCTTTTCTTTTCATGTCTTCAGAAATGTCCATTTTTTTAAAAACCAAAAAGAAGCAGAAGTCAAAATTTGCTAATATTGAAATATCAACAATAATAACACAGATAAAGTGAGTTTTTATATAGGGTACATTTATTTATAAAATACAGTATGTCTAAGGAAATATTACAGATTGTGAACTTTTAAGGAAATATTACAGATTGTGGATTCTTTAAGGAAATATTACAGATTGTGGATTCTTTAAGGAAATATTACAGATTGTGAACTTTTATGGAAATATTACAGATTGTGAACTTTTAAGGAAATATTACAGATTGTGGATTCTTTATGGAAATATTTCAGATTGTGGATTTTTTATGGCGATATTTCAGATTGTGGATTTTTTATGGAAATATTTCAGATTCTGGATTTTTCATGGAAATATTACACATCCTGAAATTTCTAAGGCAATATAACTTACCAGGTATTTTAAAATTTCTATGGAAATATTACAGGTTTTGAAATTTTTACGAGGTTAAATATACCTACTGTAGATTTCGGCAACCCAAATATTCAAATCAAGAGCTGTACAGGTGTTGGGTACACAAACTCCCTGCATCAGGTACTGACCAGGAATCTGAAATAAAAAAGCTGATGGAATCTAAATTCAATCAAAGATGATTCAGTTAAAATAGTACTCAATGATACAATGTTTTGAATTAACTTGTTCCACTAACAGACATCTGGGAACATGAATCTAAATGTCCATAAACATTAGTTTCAAAATAATATCAAATCTTTGAAACTTAATTTGTAATCTATTATAGAATTTAATCACCTTTCAAATGTGTGTTCTTTTTTGAGATGCTAATTTCAGTGAGAGATCACATGACCTTTGACCTGCTGACCGTCTATAGATACAGTATGTCTAAAAGAACTTTGTGAAATTTTACCCTGTAAAACAATAAAAGATGAGGTACATTTCCTGATCGAATGTCTTCTTTACAATAAGTTATGAAATACTCATCAGTTTACAGAAAGGGACTGAACATATAATCCTTTTTCTTAGAAAAATAATATGAAAGAACGGTAAATGCCAAAGTGTTTTAGGTGTTAAATTATTTTTTCTGAAAATTGGAACAGAATTTAGCGGCCTCTTTGTGAAACGACGATAACATTTAAATGTCTACCGTCCTTTCTGCAGAAACACACAAACATTTCTAAATACGTACCCCTATTGCAGTAGCACCCATGCAGTATTTTCCACCTATTTGATGTCCAGTGAGATTGTTGGCTGGTGACAGGGCGTTGACACACTCGTCGTAACTGCCAACCCAAGTTTTCTTGCCTTGCAGTAATCCACTGGGAAGCTTTGCTGCTGCATCCATCACTAAACAGGAAATGTCATTTTCACAAAAAATCTCACTTCAAGGTATCCTATTACCTAGGCTTGTTTTCCAAAATGATTTACATATATTATAATTTTCAAAAGAATAGATAATATTCTGTAGTCATGTTAATGAATTAATAAGCGAATAAGCAAATACAGTTTTCATCCTTGTTATATGTAGGATGTAAACATAGGTGTCTGGTGAAAGAGAAGAAAAAAACACCACTAATATCTAACTCGTTTTACCAAATAAGAAACATTCTAGAACGAAAACAATATGTACAAAGAGTAGTAAGCTGTACAAAGACACTAGATATGGCCAATAAAGAAATCTTTGCTTTCTGTTACTGCTCAAATTACTAGATTTTAAAATTTTAGTGTACAATATTTGTAAACCATTTTTGTTTTTAATTTCTTTATCTTTCTTCTTCATATTAAATTTACATTAGAGAGTGACTTTAACAGTATTTCTTTGAAATTTGCAATAAAAAGTTTATGGTTGACAGAAAACTTGACAGAATGGATGGTATGACAGAAATCAAACAATATTATTTCTGTTGTACCTATAATCAGCTTGGGCACAACTGCCTCCGCTAAGAATCGAACCCAGCACCCCTGGCTTACTAGTCTGAGGCTCAATTGATCAAGCTTAAGAGAAGTTCTCTCTAGCGAAGTGGTATTTTGCAGCTGGTATTCTACCAGCGTTACATAATCCCTCTAGGAAATAACTTTTCTGAGTGTCCAGGAGTCACAGCAGTACTTGTGAAAGTAACACTGGTGGTCCTCGAATTTCCATGGATGACAGCGGAACTTGTGAAAGTAACGCTGGTGAGGCACAGCTAAGTATTATTCCTGGGTCCCTACATGGGCGCCAATGTAGCAGAGGCCATTATTAATTTCAATGCCTCCGCTAGGAATCGAACCCGGGACCCATGGCTTACTAGTCTGACTCTCAACCAATGGAGTTAAAGAGAAGCTCTCCATAGCCGAGCAGTATTTTGAGCCTAGTTTTTTTACCAGGGTTACACATATAATCAACACATTTATAAATAAATGTGTTATTTTACATGTTTATTATGATGAAAAAAAATTCCTAATTTGATAGTCTATTTGAATGCAGCAATACATCAAATCATTCAAGTATATCTGTCATAGAAAGAGGTTATTTTATTACAATATTTCAAAATTAAAATCACCCATCACTGAAAAATATTTATTTTACAGAGCTCTCAAAAATTAAATCTATAGTTGTGTTTACAAACTGATGATGTATGGAAGAAATTTTGCTTGTGGAGTAGTTTTTTCCTTATGGCATAATACATAATTTACACTGTGATTTCTTTAAAAGCATCAGCAATTTCAATATTTGATACGGTAAAATACTTCTCTTGAGTATAAATCTGAAAGTCTGTGGTAGATATCAACTCAATTATACATAAATCATCACCAAATTATCAAATTCATTAATTTGAACTAAGCGGGCCAATTTCTCAGATATTTTGGACCTGAAAACAAATATTTCATCCTGTTTCTAGATCTTGAAATAACTGTACATGTCTATTTGTGAAAATTGCAACAACATCAAAGTGAGGACACTCTCTCTTTTTCAATCAAGAAACATATCCTCAAAATTGTTTCTATCCATGCCTAATGTCCTGAAAAGGTGTAGTACATGAGGATCAAATAAGTCATTTTGGGACATTTTCATTTTATGGTTGTTTATGCACTTAAAATCTTGTTACATAAAATGAAAACTTTGCAGTTTTACATATTTTTTTTTCTTCTTGATATTCAAGTATTACACTTCATTTTATAATAAAAGTTGAAAATCTAGTTTAAAAAGGGTTGCTGCGAAAATAAATGAAAATGTCTATAATTCAAGAAAAAAGCTAACACCGCATGAAAATAAAATATTTCCTTTTATACATATTCTAAGGCATGCATCGGAAAATGTATTGCAGCAACATATTGATTTTTTTGCTCTTAATCTAGTTTCTTAAATCAAACCTTTGGAAATACAATAAAACTATCAAAAACAAAGTTTAATACTGGAGTTTTAAACACGATTAAATATGTTTTCACTTACTTTGCTCTGCATAATTTTTCCTTTGGGCTAAATCTTTCAGAAACTGGATAGTGTCGTTACAACACGTATTAGATATCCCATAGACGCATATATCTGTAGGAGAAGCACTTGCCTCAGAATAAACATGTTGAAACATTTCCGCAAAACCTCCTTGTTTCAAGAAAGTGGTTATATTTGTGGTGATTTCGTTAATGCCATCCGCAAAATCTAACGTGACTTTAAAACCACCAGTATCCAATGTCTTCGCACCATTCGCACCAAGGGGGTGAGTTGGTAAGTATGCATTTACGGTGTGTGTGTTCAGAGACAGTGTTGTCAGACAAAGCGAAAGTAAACAGAACCGTCTTCCCGTCACGTCTCCCATATCTCTTACCAGCCTATCAGCAATAGATAATTCAGCTGAGAGATAGCACTGCTCATAAAGATATGCCCAGTTCAAAACTAGTGATAATATGCATTACCGACTTTTAAGCTCTGAATTACACAATACAGTCATGTGACGGTTTCGTGTTACTTCGCAACAAAGACGTATATATATCACATGATATATAGGCTACGTCTCTGTTCTCAAGTAGGATACGTGAGAGCTACATATGCGAGTTCCGGTTCCGGTTTTTGCAATGTAAATACCATGAGAATTAATTAATATATTGCAAATTCTTCACACCAATCATTAATTTCACTGTTACACATGTTATATTCACGGCTCATTAGTGTCATTCGGAGTAAATGCATGTTCATTTTTATAACGAAATCTGTTTACATCGTCAGATCGTGCTTTATATTAATCTCCCATTTTTGTTATTTAGTCATATCACGGACTTATATACACAAAGTCCGTGGTCATATACAGTACTAACGTGCAACAAGTATATTCATTCACATAATAATTTTTGACAATATATATGAATAATTCATTTTGGCTTTAAAAAATCATGAAATTATTTTTCAATGGATCTTATCGAAATCACACAAACGCTTACCTAAGCCAGAGACGTATATATCACATATATACGTCTCTGCCTAAGCCTACAGAATTATAAGCTGTTATAAATTGCTTCTTCCACTGATACTATTTATATACATCTAAACGTATATAACATATATATATATATTTCAATTTAAGCAATGGTATTATTAAAAAAAGAAGAAATAACAAACATATATTTGTCACTTTAAAGAAAATTAAATGAAGGAAAATTACATAAATATTATGAGGTGAAAGCCACTGATTGTCTACTTGTAAAATATGTTAATCATATGTTGAATTTTGAGAAAATCCATTGAAATATGAAGTGGTTTGAGTTCGTTCAACATGGCCGAATCACAGTGTATTGTCGAAGTGAAATGTCAGAAATGCAGTGATCTAGATTAATTATAATATTCAGAGATCATTTATTTCTGAAAAGGAATGTGCGTTGACGTACAGAAAGATGGACACTGTGTAGAGCACCTACATGGTCATGTGAGTCAAGAATAAAGCATTTTTTTGTTATTTTTATTACATATTTTATGTAAGTGTAATATTAATGTGAGAAACTGAAAGTGAATCCGATTATTGATCGCAACATCTAACAAATTCTCATCATTAATACTAACCACCTGACTGATTGCACAGAGTGACCTGGGAGAATGAATTTGATTCACTCTGCCAAAAATGTATTGCTGAAAGATGGGATTAGCCGAAGATAAGGTTTCCAACGGTTATTATTGTACAGTAAGTGTCTGTTCAATGTTGAGAATTGATGGGAAAAATAAATGGATGATAGTCATTATAGACTTGACAGTCATATTAGTCATCACAATTTCTCTGAAAAACTCGAGTACAATAATGCTGACATTGTCTTTAACTTTTCGGTATTACTCTGGTGATAGCTGTGTCATTGTGACATTGATTTTGTCAATGTCAATGTTAGGTGTGACATATCACACTTGGTGTCCAGTTTTATATTTCCGCCATCTAGTAAAGTGGCTCGAAAATACTTCCTGTGGCTGTTGCAGTGAGCTTGCCGCATAACTGCCACTGGTATGCCTTTGGCAATACATTCAACATTCATCATGGTGAACGACCCACAGGAGTTGCGGTCTCTTTGTCTGCTGCATTTTCTCTGTCGAGTAGTTCCATTGGTCGAACTGTTCTTTCACTTCAGGAAGGCTTCCCCGCTTTGCCATGAACTGAGTCCACAGCATTGTCCATCGCTGACCAACCTCTCCATTCATGGAATCTGGGATGTAGACCAATTGTTGTCTTATGTCTGCCACCAAATACACCCATTGATTTCCATTGATGTAAACTGGCATCAGAACATTATTGTATTTGGAGACCTGAACCTGAAAATAACCAAATGAAATATTCTTAGATATAAATCAAATTTTAAATACTAGCTGGGAAAGGTTTTGTTTAAGAATACAATCTAAATGTCAAATACTACAGATATTGTGGTTCAAATTGGCCCTTTAAGACTGATTGGATATGATTCAGCCAGGAGAAATGCAAGCACAATCTAAATATGTCAAATATTACTGTTGCTGTTGTTCATATTGCACATTAAACACTGATTGGATACAAAATATTTCCTAATATAAATATATGCCTATCTATTGTCTTGTTTTGTATATTAGAGCATTTGTCTTACAACAGAAATCTCAGCAATGTCACTATCGATTTATCTATTTGTAATAGGTGTTTTATTTTATACTATGAATCTGTAAATTAAATTAAACTTGGTAAGTTGTACCAAACTACATGTACATTATACATGCTAATAAAGTCTGTGATACCTTGCATCTATTTACATCATAATGTTTACTACCTACGGTAGTGCATACTAAATGATACTGTTTACAAAATAGTGTCGACATCAGCGTTTATATACAGGTATACTGTATAAGATTTTCTATTTGAAAATAATTGTTTATAAATTCTATATGAAGATATGCATTATTCTTTCAATTGATTGTATCTGTATCATGCATGTAGCTTCTTCAACAGTCAGGTACCTTTGCTTTTGGAACTGCCGTCCGGTTTGACCTTGTAACTAACCCTCAAATACCAGTTGTAAAAATATCTGTAAGGTAACTTTGAATGGGCAACCATATAAATAGCAAATGTCTTTAAGTTGAGATTAGTGTAATATACAGATATATATACTCTGCTTTGCCTAAATTAAGAACAGCTAAATCATATATTCTTTTTTTGAACTGAAAGGTGTTATAATACTGGGAGACAAGAGAGAATTTTCACATATTGTAATAGTCAACAATAAGAAGATTGATTTCATTATCTGATAGAATGCCAATCACTAGCTGAACTAACTTGACTTTCGATATGTTGAATTCTTGTTTTTAACTTTCATTGATAATGTCATAACACAATGTCCATTAACTACTAAGTTTGACCAAGACCTTTGACTCAGTGGTCAAATTTGGTCAGTTTACTCCTTGTTTAATTCTGATCGACTTTGTGTCATAATGTCATAACAAAATGTTTATTTGTGAAGTTGCAATATTTGATCTTGACCGCTGGACTTAATGGCCTTGTCGTTTGAGGTCAGTTTTTGAGATGGTGAAAATTGTGTATTGTTATAAACAAAGTTTACTAGATAACGACGAATCGTAATTATGAAATCAAAATTAGACAAATTAGTATTAGGGTACATATACAATAGCAATTATAATAATATATATATATACAAGCTGATTGATAACAATTTTTTCGAAATCCACATTCCAAAACTATTAAATAATATTTGCAACTCTCCAAAAGGTTTCAAAATTCTTTAAAAAATATTTATATCAAATGTATCATCATAATACAGGCCCAATATCGGCACCTGGTGCCTTTGGGTATTGAGAATTTATTTAAATATTCATATATATTTCACCCATGCGACATTGAAAGCCTGTCAAGGACATTCTTTATAACAAACCTGACAGTTCTTCATCCCATCATGCTACAGGCCAATATCAGCATCACGGGCCTTTTGGTTATTGAGAAGTTGTTAGAACATTTTAACATATTTGACCGCTTTGACCTTGAAAATGAGTCACGGTCATTCTGATAAGGATACATTGTAGCGCTAAATCCAAGCATGCCGCAGGCCAAATGTCAGCGTACTGGGTCTTTTAGGTATTCAGAAGTTGTATAAAGATTTTCTCATATTTGATCCCTGTGACCTTTTTTATTTTTATTTTGACAAAATTATTGGGGGGGGGGGGAGGCTAAAGCCCCGCTAGCAAGCACCTCCAACCACCCCCACCCCCACCCCTACCCCCTGTTCCGCCGGCCCTGCGTTATATAAACAAGATGCGGATGTAACGAAAGGTAATCGAACTTTGTGATAGGTCACCCAAAGTTCAAGGACAGTACATATAGAGTAGGCGTGGCCTACACACATGCTTGGGTCTAGGTTCTGGTGTAGTCACAAGTTTGCTGAGGGTGACGATCATTTATCACACAGTCATACTCATCAAAACAAGATGTGTGAGTGGGTAGAGGAGTCGGATTCAGACGGAAATTGTTTGAAAACCAAAAAATACAACGGCAAGTACTACGCCAGTATTGTACCTGGGAATGTGAGTGACCACTTGGAGAGGCTACAAACCATGGAAGTCCGGGATGATGACACGTTTGTCCTCTCCTACCCAAAGTCAGGTACAATTTATAAATCCTACCTGTAAAATTATTGTCGGTTTGTGTTTAAAGTCGAATAACACGTTTGTATAATGACCAAAGCTTGTCTGTCTCGATCTCGTGTTATGTTCTAAGGGAGCTAACTCGAAATAATTTGTAGTCCACGTGAATTACAAATCGCCATTTTCCCTCATATCTATCCATTAGATATAGAATACAAAATATTTCAAGATATTCATGATTTTCAAAGAGATTTTCATCTCAGAATATGCAAAACTTTCGTGAAGTAAAATTTTCCGTTTAATATCAAACTATGTACATACTACTAGCACCTAAAATCTGTTTTCCTTCTCTATAAAAATATTTCATTCGTAATATATTATTACTGTTATATCATTGTCGGTATGGAAATTTTCATACAGAACCGGTCAATTAAGCAACTTGATAAAAATGGGCGCAAACCGTCATAAACACAGTTTTGTCTACATTCTGCTTGCTTTTTTGCGATAAGATCAGACGGATTATCAAGACTCGCTTTGAAGTCTGTGTGAAGAAAATGAGTGAAATTTTGATACCTGAAGAACAAAATTATAAGATCTTAAAAGCTTCTACGGATCTTCGCAATAGATGAATATTACAGGCCAAAGGGGCCTGTTGTTTGTCATTTTATGTTGGCACTGATATCGATGTCTCTTTCCAGGTACACACTGGGTGTTCACTATTGCCAGTATGCTCCGTACAGGGCAATCCAAATATATGGGATCGCCCTACTTCTTGGACTATAACGAAGTGGATTATCTGGACAAGTTACCATCACCGAGAGTTTTTGGATCTCATCTCACCTTCGATGAACTACCTCGGCAAGTCCGTGAGGGAAAAGGCAAAGTGTTGATGATAACTAGAAATCCAAAAGATGTCGCGGTCTCTTATCATCTATTCATGACGAAATTGAACGCTCCTGATTATAAAGGCTCCTGGGAGGGATTTCTCAAGTTCTATACTGAGGGCAGAAGTAGGTAACGATTTCCCATTTTAACTTCAATTGTCTGAAAATGACAACGACAATTGTTTAGAGGGAACAAATTTACCGTCAACCGTTTTTGACAAGTGGTTAAGAATTAATAGCAGAAATTATAACCAAGATTGGTCGCATCGTAAATCATAAAAGACAGATGTAATAAAATACGGTTTAGATATATTGTTACAAACTGTAACTTCGATATTAGTGTATATCAGATACATAGGTCAGTAATCTTTGACTGACTGGTTGTAGGATTAATTTTGTCAATATGTAACATCTGGTAGACTGGGTGTAATTATGAATGCATGAACAACTTAACATGTGTCTCTTATCAAATTTATTTAACTTAGTTACAGTTACAAACTAGCTAAACATAAAACTTACACTTCAATTTATATCAACTATACGTTTGTCAATAAAAATTAGAATTAATAATGAAACAATTATTATACATTTTTGAGCCATTTCTGGCATGATATGACCAACAAGTACGTGTGTTTAACCCTACTGTGTTTTTGAAATTTTGAAATAATGAGTCGCAAGCCTCAATATGATAAAGAATTGAGAGCATTGACAGGGCAATGTCCAAAATAATCAGGAAAAATAAGGTAAGATAAATCACACCTAATCAAATGAAATCACGGATATTTAGTCCACCCTTCGACTAACATAGAGACGGCAAATGTTCACTCTTACAAACTATTCCGTTTGACTCATTAAACAATCGATAATAAATGTTTATGTTAGTTTGAAGTCAGCTATTATTATCAACAGACAGCAAAATAGGAAGATATTGTAAATATCATCACTAAACTGTCTTCTTATGGCATTAATGGTGTATATAAATGACAAGAGTTATGCTTATAACATCATACTGGGGACTAATAGATGCCATTATATATCCCGACAGTTCGATAAAATAAAATAGCATGTCCTGATTATGTACTTTTCATGTGATTTTTGTAGTCGCTAACTCGTTATAATTAGATTTATTAGTAGACTGTAGTAAGTTTTAGTGCATACCTGCACATATCTATTTTAAACGTAGGCTTAAGATAGCTTTTTTGTGACTTCTAAAGATCCTTCTGCGTCCATCGGCCTAAACATCAGGACATTTTACACTATTGTTCTCGATAGCGTGTATCTTTGTTTTGTGTTCAATGTAAGTGATGTAACTTTTGTCATGCATATTTTGTTTCTTGATAAGGGTACAGATTACCTCGGAAAGACAATTTACTTGTCCGTATGTATGCATTTCTTTCAAAATGGCACCTATTCACCTGTTTTTGTGGAAAATGTTTTGCACAGGGAAAAATTGCAAAGAATATTATCGTTTAAGAATCATAGAATTTCTCACTGCATTATTGTAAAATGAATTTTGTGTTACAAGTGCTTTATGGCTCCTGGTTTGAAGCGTTTTTCGACTGGGAGAACACCAAAGCCAAGTACAAGGGAGATAATGTTCTCTACTTGATGTACGAAGATATGAAACAGGTATGGATATATATCGGAACATAACAGAGAAAAATATGCAAGAAAAATCAAATTTTAACTGTGATATCTCACTGGCTGATTTATATTCGTGTGTCATTACTGGATATCGCTACAGATTTGTGTATTTGTGCCATGTTCAGATTTGATGTTAGCTAATTAAGTAAGCTGTTTATCAAGTGTGATTTACAGGAATTTAAATGACATTGCACACATGTCCAACCTGATGTACAACCGCTACAGTCCATGGTCAAAATATCTTTTCAACAACTGAATGACAAAACGTCTGCTAGTGTTTACGTATGGGTAGCTTATTAACTTTGCTGTGGCATTTATACTCTGTGTAAATGACACAGATCTACAAGCATAAAAGGATATTCAGCTAATATATAATACATAAAATGTTTCATTTATTTGGATGATAAATGCCATTGCAAAACGATTCAATACTTAACAATTCTTCACCTACTGGTTCATAACTTTTTGTCATATTGTTGTTTTTTGTTGTTTACAGAATCTCCTTGTCAACGTCATCAAGATGGCGGCGTTTCTTGGTGAAACAAGAGACAATTTATTCCTTGAGGAAGTAACAGAGAGATGTACATTTCAAACAATGTTTAAAACGGTCATGAGCGAAATCAAACCATCAGATCAAGACTACATACATCAAATGTCGGACAACAAAAAGTTGCCAATATATCGAAAAGGTAACACTCACTTGACACTATCTCGTATAACTTTGGATTTTGTAGTAAATATTTGTTGTTTTAGTAGTACGATGTTAATTATCAGCTGGCTGTTCATCACGTAGATTACACAGTAAGTTTGTGACGTTAGTCGTAAATTCAATGTTAATTTAAATGCATTTCGGCTGTAACCTTAACAGCGGTGTGATGCACTTTTAAATTCAAACTATCTCTTAATGTCTGTTGTTGTGGAATAATCTGCTATGTATACTTACCAACAGTTCCATATTTCCACTGTAGTAATCATTTGACTTCTATAAATATGTTTTTAACGCACTATTCCACTGATAACATTTCTTGTGTTTTTGCAGGAGAGGTTGGTGATTGGAAGAATCATTTTACTGTAGCCCAAAACGAATTTTTCGATAGAATATACGAGGAGAAAATGAAGGACACGAAGTGTACTTTCCGGTTTGAATAGGAGTCAATCATGCTTGATTTAAATTAAAAAGAAAAAGAAGAAAAAAATCGATCTGAGACTTTGATGTAATGTATAATTAATGGTTCCAACGACCAAAGTAATGTACTTTATATCTTCCATTTAAACATTCGTAGTTTTAGAAATAAGCTATCGCAAGTTGAAAATTTATCGTCCGATTATGATATGGTCTGCGTTACCGAGACTCATCTTGAATTCTGGGTGGTCATGAGTAAAGACCGAGGAACTCCGGAAAGAGGGGGAAGGGGTTTACGTTTAGCTGTGAATACATCCAGTCTCTCGTGCACCTGAGCTGACCTAGAATCTCAGGTGGATAATGATATTTGGACGGAGATTCAATTTCCAAATAACGAAATATCTTCTGTGCGCTCAGTCCTCTTGATATCGCACATTCTGTTTTGTTATTATTTACGGAATTCCAGTGACTCTGCTATATAGGAAACTCCACATATAGTATTAGTTGGTGATATGAATGTTGACTTTTTAACTGTAGAAAACACGCACGTTCTATATATAAACTATATTTATTTTACAACAATTGCAAAACAAGTTATGTCAACTTATACTAATCACTCTTGTTGGCCCGGATGTAAGCGCGCGAGGGGTCTTATTGTGGGAGGAAACCGGAGTACCCGGGGAAAACCCACGTGGTCGGGCAGGTGACCCCTTAGGTGAAAGGCGAGTGCGTTACCACTGCGCCACCCGACCACCTACGTCCTGTATAATATTATCCACACCTTTCACGTGACTAACGTACTCGACAAACCGACACGCATGGGATTCAAAAGCTCTACTTAACACAATTTTACTCTCCAGCACGTGTACTAACTTTTCTGATGTAATTGACATTGATGATGATATGTCAGACGTTTCAGCGACTACTGTAAATTGACTGAAGGGACAATAAATACCAGGCCGTATAAACAAACCTTAAGATGTTATAATGAAGTTAATCACGGAATTTTTAGTAATAAACTAAACGATACAGACTGGGTAAATTCATTCTCTACAGCGCACTCTCCCGACAACGTGTTAACAAAATATATGTATATAGCTGGACATATCTCGGAAGTGTCTTCCTACTAAAATTGTTACAATACGACCTATTGACAAGCCCTGCTTTAATTCTGATCTTCGACGAGAAATTAGGAAAAGAGACAGACTTTTATAAATATTTGGATTCAAATCGCTTTTGGAGTAACTTGACGAATTTTAGAAAACAACGTTACATGTCAATAATCTAAAAAAAACCATACCAAAGAACTTTTCTCTGCGGATATCAATAGTATCTTAGATCGTTATTTTAATTCGAATCACAAAAACGTTTGAAATATTGTCCGTAGACTGGTAAAATATCCTGACACTTAGTCTTAATCGGAACACGAATACAGATCTTGATTCCGTTTAAGAAAACCAAATTTGTTGACAAGACGAAAGGTCTAATACCCGTAATATATTTTTAAGTCGGTACAGGGATCGAACTCACAACCTTTCAGATAGAAATTAAGACACCCATAGCCGTTATAAAGAGAATTTATTTTATACGAGACTTGCACTCGCACTCGCACTCAAGTTCCGTTTAACCTTAGAAAAAAGACCCGAGTTCCTTTTACGAAAAACGAATATGTTCGAAAATCAGCAAGTCTACTGCGCATGATCTTACCTTAATTCGGGACAGGAATCGAACCTATAGCGTTCCACATTGAAAATAAGACTAAAATAGCGTTCATAAAGGAATTGGTTTTATACGGAACTTGCGTCCAAACTCCATGTCCGTTTAAATTCAAACTGAACTGGAAACCATTATCTTTTAAGCGTATATGGTGAAAAAATGGAAAGTCCAATACGTATGATATACTGTTAGTTAAGGATAGGCCTTAATCTCAATCCAGATCGTATTTCTTGTTTTTTCGTAATTGGAGCTGAACTATTTGATCGAAAAAAGCCTAATGCTAAAGCTTTCTTAGAACGCAACTTCCGTTTATCCCAATTCTCACATTTTTGAGCACATAGTACGGTGTTACGAAGAACTGGAATGCAATCATGACTTGGATCCAAATACAGACCGAGAGTAAGCTATATTTTCACTTGGCTCCCCTATCTAACCAGATCTAACTGTCTCTCATTAACAAATACGTCATAAAATCCCAAAACATATCACTTGATGAAGAAGATAAACTAACGAGCGCTACTGAGTATGAACATGTCAATATCGGGAAAAGCCAGCACGTTTCTGGTACAACCCTTGTGTCCGTCAAACACGATGAATATCGTTACTTAAACTCTGTGGTATGCATAGGTCTCATCATTGCAAGGCAAGGCATGGGAAATAAAATTCAGATGTACTACAAGGATTTGGCCTTGGGTTCTGAACCTATCGAGAATATTTTGTCCTGTTTGTTTACATACTCGATAATTATTTATCCAGGGGAGTCATACAGGGACTATTCATTTCATTATTGCAATCAAACGAATGTGACGTCGTTCGTTATTGGGTGCTTTGTCATTCAATAAACTTCTTAGATATATATTATTGGTTATAACATACAAGACGGTGCTTCCTTCTCTCTCTTTCACGTAGTCGTAAGAGTGTCGTAAGAGAAATACTGATGAATTATTGAAATTGTCAAATCTGTATTCTAATTATATTTACAGCCTTTAGACTGACCTTTGTTATCATATTGCATGTTAAATAAAAGAATTTTATCATCATTTTGAATGATTTCAGAAAGTAAATGTCACTCTTTAAAAAAAAAACTCTCAATACACTATTATATATGACTGTTAACTCTACAAAACAAACAAAGATAAAATACTGAAAAATTCAGCGTATCATACATGTATTAAGTATTGTCTTATGATTTCAAGGAAAAGCTTCCTAGACTTTTCGTTTTTGCGAGGTTAACTCGACAATAATGAAAAGAAAGAAATATTATGTTTTTTTAAAAGGGAACTTTGATCTCGTTCCCAGTTCCGTTTAATGTTGAGCAATTACAGCATAGTTATTTGGACAATATTTTACAAGTGTTTCGATATCATTGATTCTATATGATAATAAAAAGAAAGGCCGAGGCCGATATTTCTTTTTGTCTCATATCGATTCAATAACAGTTCAGTAATTATTCTATTACATTCCATTTGAAGTTTTTTAACCATCCATCTTGCCGGGCGTCTGCCTCCATGTTTACAATCACAAATGTTAGGCGCTGAAGAATTTTTTCAAGTTTCAAGTTTCAAGTTTATTGGATCCTCAGATACATGAAAATATATAACATGAGGTAAAACAATACTATATCAATAGATACGTGACAAAATGGATGGTAACTGAAAGTTGTAACGCTTCACTGTATTTTGTTAGGACTATTCAAAGTACACAGTACTTTCATAGATCAGACTGATAACAACTAGAACAATACGATTTACTTATATAAATAAAAATGGTAGCATAACATCACGCTATATAAGGATACCATAGTGTTACTTCAAAATATTTTGTTAAGACTTAAAAATAAACAGGATGCATTTAGTACTTTCAATTTTCATATTGATTGCAATTAGTACATTCAAATACACTTTAATATAACACCACATTATATAATAACACAGTATTGCTTCACAATATTTTGTTACAGCTGTTCAAGATAACCAAAGGGCATTATGTACTTTTGTATATCAAATTGGTTTCATTAAACCACATTATTTAAGGATAACATAGTATTTTGTTTAGATTTGAAATAAAATGGGGTATTAAGTATTTATATCAAATTGATAGCAATTTGCACATTATATACACTTTGCTATTATAACACCACGCTGTTTAAAATAAACAGGGCATCAGGCGTATATGTAAAAGACTGATATCAATTAGTACATCTAAATACCCTTTGATATTATATAATGATAACGTAGTGTTTCTTCACAATATTTGATTAAGATTGTTTTAAAGTAAATGCAAAGCTTCTGGTAATTTTTTTTATATAAAGCTGATATACTTGGGTTTCATAAAATCACTTATATAATGAAAACATTATCTTTCTTACAATATTTTGTCAAGACTGTTTAAAAATAAACAAAAGGCATTTAGAACTTTTTTATAACAAACTGAGAGCAATCCGTACATTTTGAACACGTTTGGATTTCTCCAGTAATATGAAGGTAAGAATTTCTGTCTCAGTTCAATCAATCTTATATCGGTGCACTGAAATAAGTAATGGAATTCGTCACCTACTGAGGTATTACATAGAGAACATTTCCTATCCTGTCTCTGAACATTGCGCCATCTTCCAGTTTCAATGGGAAATTTCATATTACAACATCTAATTTTGCATAAAATCCGTCTGTTTTTAACAGAGAGTTGAGTCAGGTATGGCTCAAGCAGTAAAGAATTTTTAAAACTACTATAGAATAAGCCTCTAGATGAATTTTCCGTTTCGTTTCTCCATTTCTGTATAAATTGATCTGTTAAAGTTTTTTAAATACTGGTTTTTATATAGTATTTACTAATTGGGCCCTGATTCTGGAAAACAGCGCTCTGTCCTACATCATCAAAGCAAGATTTAATAAAATCTACCCATTTAAACTTACACAAATTGTTGACATGAAGTTTGTATATCAGTCTGTACATAAGACTACTTAACTTTGACTCATGCATTATTAACGAGTTGTAAAAATTAACCATTCTGAGTTTAATATCTATTTCCAGAGGGTAACGACCAAGTTCGCCATGTACCATAAAATTTGGTGTCGTGTTTCTTACGCCTAAAATTCTTTTACAAAATTGCAAGTGGACTTGCTCGACAATTTTAATATTTTCAAAGCCCCATATTTCTGATCCATAAAGTAATATAGGCTTAACTAAGATGTCAAATAATTTGAGCTGTAAATCAATTGGAAGATGTTGATTTTTAATACTCCTGTACACAGAGAAAAAAGCCTTTTGTGATTGTTCACGCAACTTTTGCTTGCACTTATAAAAGTTACCATTAAAATTAAATGTTACACCCAAGTAATTAAAGCTATCTACTTCTTCAATTATAAGGCCATTAATCTTAAAACCTTCACCATTTTTTAACCTTTTCTTACAAAATATCATGACCTTGGTTTTCTTGACATTAACATTAAGTTTCCACTTGGTACAATACAAATGAAAGATATCCAGCGCCTTCTGTAAACCTTCAACAGAGTCTGAGAGAATAATAGTATCATCAGCATAAAGCAAGACAAAAATATCCAGAAATATGTTAAGTTCATTTTGAAAGTTCTCCTTTAAATGTCTCAAAGGAACACTACTGTTTTTACGAAAGAAATCTTCAATATCATTCAAAAAGATCGCAAATAAAAACGGGAACAGGTTTTCGCCTTGTCGAACACCTATTAAACAGTCAAATAGTTCAGATCGGGTATTTTTCAACTCCACACATTTAATATTATCATACATATTCATTATTATATCATAACATTTTCCTTTTATTTTATTTCTACGTAGTTTTTTTCCATAATCCTACCCTCCATACCGTGTCAAATGCTTTTCGAAAATCAACGAATGTTGTGTATAATTTTTCATTTTTACATAAATATAGTGTGATAAGCGAATGAAGTATAAAAATATTATCAATAGTGGAATGCCTGTCACGAAATCCTGCCTGACTAAGGGAAATTATTTGATGGGTATTGGAGTAAACAGTGAGCCGGTTATTTAAGATACGTGTAAATAACCTACCAAGACAACTTGTTAAAGTTATTCCCCGGTAATTGTCTGGATCTTTCGTCTCACCTTTATTTTTATATATAGGTTTTATTATTCCTATAGTCCAAGACTTGGGAATTACTCCGGAGTCAAATATAAGGTTAAATAGTTTACAAATAGTTATCAAGGCTTCCTCGGGTAAGTATTTTATATGTTCATTCAAAATTTTATCAATGCCTGGTGCCTTGCCTGTTTTTAACTCTCTAGTACACTTTTTCAATTCATCAAGTGTTATCTCCTTATTAAGATCATTATCACCATCATCATCATCATCATCATCATCATCATCATCATCATCATCATCATCATCATCGTCCATCATCATCATCGTCATCATCATTAACATCATCATCATCATCATCATCATCGTCGTCATCGTCATCATCATTAACATCATCATCATCATCATCGTCATCATCTTCATCATCATCATCATGGTCAGAATTTATATCTTTGAAAAAATGAAATAGTACGTCAAGTGTAATTGCACTGTCTTCATTATTTTAACAGTATTTGATGAGGAATTCTTTTTTATATTTTTCCAAAATTCCTTTGGGTTACAGGTGGATGGTAGACGCAAATCATGCGCACAGTTGGAAATATATTTGTTAAAACTTTTATTTAGCTGTTTACGATATTGTTTGGCACATAAATTCATGTTAGATTTACAGTCATTGCTTTTTGTTCTATTATATTTTACTTTACTTTTGTTAAATGTTACTCGTGCAGTCTCACACTCTTTGTCAAACCAGGGTTTCTTTTTAGTATTAGTTTTGTGTGTTGTTAGTTTATCGTTGTTTGTGTACCTTTTAACACCTATAGTCTTCCGTACTGTATCCAGTAATACATCACAAAAAATCTGACACAACTTTGTCAATACAACTTTTGTCAACACTAGTGTTAGGAACACTCAACATGTCTATTTGTTCCCCAATTTTTGTTATTTCTTCAATATTAAGTTTATAAGTATATTCCTCTTTCTTGTTTTGGTCCCATTTAACAAATTCAACAGTATTTGATTCGGTTACCATATTACCGCTTTCAGGATATTCATTTTTATAAACAATGGAAAAAGTTAATCGACAATGGACATCGGAGAACATTGGGTTAAAGTTACATATTTCAAAGTTTGTAATAAAATTTAATAACTCAGTACTAAATAGTAAATAGTCTACCACACTCACCCCTTTACAGGTAGGTGCTCCATCACTTTTGTCTGTATGAAGTCTACCATTACCTATAAATAATGAACACCTCTTACACATATCAATAAGTTTAGTGCCAAACTTATTACTGCGGCCTACATCCTTATTTGTCCTCTCAAGTGGAATGCTATGGGACATAAGTTTATGATAGGCGTGGACATTGTCTACACTTGAGTTATCTAAATTAAGAATATTTAGAAGTCTATTTTCAGGTACGACATAGTCTACCAATGTACTTGTGCGGGCGTTGAAGTCTCCCACTAACAATATGTTATCATTACCGGAGGAAAGATAAGTAATTCATTTTCAATTTCAGTAAAACAGTCATCTGATGAGTATGCAGACCCCTCAGGGGGAATATAAACACAACCCAATAAAGAACTAATGTTTCCTATTTCTAACATGATCCATAAAAGAAATTCTGAGTCTGAGTCAACAAATTCTATGTTATTCGACAGACTAGATTTAAAAATTACTGCTATCCCACCGGACTTGTGTTTAAATATAGATCTATTTTTCAAAAAATAGGAATAACCATCTGGAACTTCTAAATCATCAAGCTCATCTGATTTGGATTCTACACATGCAAAAATATCGTTTTCTTTAATAAGATCATGAAAGTCTGGGTTCAGTAGTTTCTGCTTGATTCCACAAACGTTAAGACAACTGATGGATAGTTTACCGTGCTCAGACAATGCACCTGAGGACCTGGCCTATGTGCTCTGTCCTGTGCCACCAGGTACGCGTACATGAGTGCTTTGCCCTTGTGCACGCGGTTGTACAGGTGTGTCACTGTCTGGGCGATATGGAGCACCATTCACATGTAGCGTGTCGTACACGAGCTGTACATTCTCGCCGCGTTGTTTTAACTCTCTCAGTTTCGGCAACAAAGCGTTGCGACGATTAGCAATTTCCTGTGGATACTGCTGAAAGACAGAATATTGCCGTTTGTCCCGTAACTTTGTCGGTACCTGTTTCATAACTGCTTCGCGATCACTGTACCGCTCAAACTTTACTATGATGCCCCTCGGCTTTCGGTCTCTCCTGGGCCTCAAGCGATGGACATTTTGAAACAGAATACCGTCAACATTGTCAACTTCCAGCACTTCACTTATGAAATTCTTCACAACTTGTTCTGTATCTTCATCATTGGATTCTTCAATGCCATTAAAATTAAATTATACTTCATTGATTGAGAAAGTAATTTTAACAAATCTTCTTTCAAGTTACTATTTTCTTGTTCGATCATCCAGTTTTGATTTTCAAGGTCATCAACCCGGTTTTCAATGTCGTAGTGATGTCTTTCTTCTTTTTCGAGTGTGTTTTCGTGTTTATTAATTAGATCTTTGATTTTCACTATTTCAGCTTGCGTTTCCTGGACATTTTTTTCCATTAGTTCAAATTTATTCAATATTTGGTCAAGTATATCCAGCTTGGTAAGTCTGGTATTGAGTTCAACACTCATCTGTTCAACCTTATTGCTGAGTATACTGAAGTTATGTAACATCATGTTCATCGCTACTCCTGTGATGGGGCCAGGGGGTACAGGAGGGCTTGGGATGGGCTGAAATCCGACAGGGGGAGGGCTCGGGATGGGCTGAAATCCGACAGGTGTGCTTTGGAATGGAATGCCCGAAGGGAAAAATGGCGGTACATGCACATGTGAAATTTTCCTTTGTTGATGTGCAGGAGTGGTATTTTCTAGCGGGGTGTTGTTACCCTGAATACTATTGCCACTACATACGGTACTAGCTCCCAGCTGAGAACTCAAGTTTTCCGAATTTTTACTTTCCATGTTCATGTTATCTGTATTCACAGTATTGTTTATCTCACCTGTCGTTTCCGTGCACGCATCACTCGTGTCGGGTACGTGAGCCTTGCTTGGCGGTGTAACCCCGGATTTTCCACGTTTAGTGTGATCCCTTTTCCTTTTATGACCCTTACCAGCCATATACACAACTTATCCACTGTTCCAACTATCTTCTAGGCGTCTTGCACTTCAAAAAAAAACCACTATAAACCCCTATTTTCACAGAGACGATACACAATCAACCACCGTCCATCTTGTCACGTCACGCATTTTTTGACTGATTAAAAAGGATGCATAACGTAGATAGAAATTAACTTTTATTAGAAATAGGACAAAGCAGTACAATATGACGAATTACCAGGTTTACAATGCAATATCAATAAAAATCGCAGAACACGTGACTCTGTCTCGACAAATGAAAATACAGAATAAAAACAAAATTGTAATAAAGCTTATTGTGCCTTATTTACAGCATATTCATCTGAGAAATATAGTTAACGTCGTATTTACCGCATAATTATCTGAACAATAAAGCTTACTATGCCGTTATTACAGCATCGTAAACTGAGCAATATAGCTTATTAGGATGTGATTACGTCATAAATTCTTCGTAGTTACGACATCTTGTGAATGTTACTTTGGTACATCATTACTATGATGTAATCGTGGAAAAGAACAAAGAAATAAGCTGTTTTTAATCACAAATAAAACTGTTTTTCTTAAACCTTTTCTGTATTTTCAAGTCTGTTCTTCATTATATATGGAAACTGGTGAAATCACACATAATTTTATCTTTTAAAATTTCAAAATGCAGCTTTAATTGTAGATGTCAACGTACAGTATTTTCTACCGGCCACAGGTTACAAAAATGTATCCCAAGCAATTATTTTTCTGTAATCTTGCCGACACTTTGATCAACACAGCAACATTTTAAGGAACATTATGTTTGATGTTGGTATGCCAAACCTTCCTATCAATTTAATTATATTCCGTTATCTTAAGCTTTATAACTTACCAACATGATACGAATGCAACATAAAACATATGAATTCGCTTTTGACGCGTATCGACTTCTGAGCCACGAACAGAAACAATATATAAATATATGGACCCTGATGAAATACTAGCCACAAACCACCACTTGGCTAGAGTGAACTTTTCTTTTTCAGCTCGATCGGTTGGGCGTCAAACGGGTAAACCAATCATCCGTGGCTCGAATTCAATCGGAGCACTGAGTAAAACTGACCTTTGTTACGTATATACATAAACATAATATATATACGTATATATAAATTATAGTTGATTCCGCAAGTATCGTATCATTTCTTACTTTGATATATAGATATACATGTATATAGATATATAAAAAATGAAAAATAAAATATTGATTAACACAGACTAAATATTACTTTTTTCTTGTAATTTACCTGCCCTTGCTCTATCCATCCTACGTAAACAATGGACAAAGATCGAACACGATGTTCATGTTGCTGTTCTCGGCAAACGAGAGCTAGCCGTTCAGGCGTGCATAATTAATTTATGATTGCAACATTTTTTTCTACATTAGACTTATTTCCCGTACACAACTCGGTCTAGATTTCTTGTTCCCATTGAAGTAAGATGGCGACATTGACGATCCGTCCATAGGTATGTCTCGATTAGCTTTCACACTTTGTCGACACAGTGTCAATCAGCATCACTGCCGTTTACACGTGTACACAATTAGCATATTCATAAAATGGCGTGTCTTGAAAAACTCGTACTTGTATGATAATGTGACTCAAATCAATCAAATTCGCTGTTGTCGGCATATGTGTAAATTTGCATATATTAGGATAAATAGATACATGTGTCGGCCTTGCATTTTTCAGTAAATCTGACCATCACAAATTGTTGAGAACATTTTTACCCTTGAAAAATCACCTAAATTGAACATATTGGTGAAAGCAAAGTCAACCTCAAGCCCAATCGTAAACTGGTCTGTCCGTTTTCGCGGGCTTTAAAAAAAAAAAAAAAAAAACATCTTGCATTCTTTCCGATTGTGTCGGCATCTTCTATCGATATGCGATGCTTAAAGAGAAAATATGAAATAAAATATTTACAGTAATAAAAATGATAATAACAATCCATAGTACTTTTCGGGCATATATACAGAGTTCGAACTCTTTGCTTCTTGATGTTTGCTCCCAATCGCATGGCATTTTCAGCAGTTTCCTCTTCGTTCCTGCAACAAATGTCAAACGTTTCAAACAGTAACACAACTAAATTAATTTTTTAAGAAGTATTATAAAATTAATCGAACTCAAACAAAAAAACATATATTTCATTGACTTCGTTTATCAATTGTTTAACCCAACATATTACTTGTGTCAATAATAATAACAATAACAATAAATAATAATAATAATAATAATAATAACATAATTAATAATAATAATAATAATAATAATAACACACATAATTTGCATATTCACACATACTTATATATAACTTTTAAAAACTTATTTATACAAAAAATGTTTGATTTCAGCACGTGTAGATCTTATCACTGACATTAGTCATCTGCAGTGATATATATATATATATATATATATATATATATATTTCACCAATATATATACATACATTAGAATGAAAGCGCTAATGCGTAATTTGACGTGTTGTTTTAATTTCTTTCTAATATATTTCACCGGACAAGTGTATTAACATAGATACACATACCTATTACGTATTAAGATATGTACACATCATTTGTTTCACACAATACCATTTATGATATGCCGTGAAATTTCTAAGTCGTTTCTTAAGAGTGAGCGGGAAAGTGTATTTTAAGAGATGAAATAAGCATTATGAAATAATAAGTATAGATAATTATTTGTTGATAGTAAAAACTCACCTGTAGTTTTACTGAAAAAACTTACTGGAGCTGTAACGATACTGGTAGGGAAACAAAGCTAACTGATTTGTAAATAATTTAGCACTAAAACAAAAATTGTCTCGCTCTCAAAGGCCAACGACCATAAAGACTTTCTTTACCTCAAGGTATTTGATCTGAGCTTCCAATCGTTTGATCTTTTCGGCATCTTGTCCTTCTCTGTTGTTGTAAATGTAAAACATTTCAATTGGTAAAACGAATAAATATTTACAAAAGGAGACAACCCTAGGCAAATCTAAACATTCAGCGTGTGAACCTGTAGATTTTAACTCAATAGCATAACCAGTAGTAGATTAGAGTGTGAGAAATACGGAACTAGTTTTATGTCGTAATTACGTCGTTATTTTAGCATTATGTCTACGTATGTCGACATGGCTTCCGCGTAATTAAGAATACTTTGTCATCGGTATAATATGCTTTATTCATAGTCAAAAAATAAATATACACGTAATTTTGACATAAATCAGGCATGTCGTCAGTATAACATGCTTTTCTAATAGTTAACTAAATACTTCCATATTTGGATTACGAGTAAATTAATTTTTTCTCTCTAAAACTCCATGTTAACATGCATATAAATCATTGCGCAACTATTTGTCACATCAGTTTGTTTGATTTTATAAAATTAACAGATTAATTTGCCATCAAAATGAGGGAGAACTTCTCTTTAGCTCGATTGGCTGAGCGTCAGACTAGTAAGTCAGGAGTCCTGGGTTCGATTCCTAGGCATTGAAATTAATAATGACCTCTGTTACAATATTATAATGTATTTAAAGGTTTAGGTTTTTAGGAAAGCGCTTTCTTATGTCTTCATAGTATGTCAGACAAATCGATACACTAACATGTAATTTTAATATATAACGTTATGAAGCCATAATGACACAAGACTGATCAAGTACTGAAAAGGAACTTGTCCTCAAGATAAGAGACTTATAAAACTTACTTTGCCTGAAGGTACGCGACGTGTGTTTCTAACCCTTTAATGGTTTCAGCATCTCGTTCTTCCCTGCAGTGAACGGAATATACTACCATCGGTTAAACGGCTAAAACCAGGCAACATCAAATCTAATCATAATCCAAATATCGTATAATTGATTTGTGTTATAAAATAGAGCATATTTTTGTGTTTCAAAATCTATTTCGTGAACTGTGACTTGGTTATTTCGGATCCGGACACATTTTTGTCAGCTTGAAAATAAGATGAGCTTTAAGTTATCAATATTTGATTTGATTTAACTTTTGTCCCTTTTTCAGTCATATATAGAAACTTCATGGATACTTTGTACTTTTTAAAGCAAGCGTAGGCCCTTGATATCATTTGTTTCTCATAAGATTATCAATAACGTTAAACTATAAAAACAAAATATCTGTCTATTTCATGAAACCTTCACTTGTTTTCATTTATAAGTGTCCTCAATTTGGATAATCATAAAAGTTTGTTATTTTCTCATTTTTTATTTAGATTTAAAAAAAAGGAAAAAAATAGTACAATTTTAAAAAAATGACAATATTCACAACATTTGTAGCAAAGAAAAACGTTACATAATACACGTAAGTGCTAAACAATTGCTTAAAAGATGACTTTTGAATTTAAATCAATTAAAATTTTAAAATTGCGACGTGGTAATAATAATGAAGAGGCTTTCTGGCGAAGATTTGAGATAGTCGATATTTTTACAAACATTTAATTTCTGATTTAAAAATTCAGTCTAGTTTTAAAATACGATGGTTGCACTTTTGAAATTGATATTGTCTCCTGACAAATGGTGATTATTGAGAAGGGCTCAAATTTAATCTTTGAACCTGTTTCTGAAAACCCTCTATATAAATCCAACTTTCTGCTCAAAATACACTGGAACATATTTAATTGCAGAGATCTTGGTCTTTGTGAATGTCATAAAGATGCAAGCATCATGCTATCGGTTCAGTACCAACATTAGTAAAGTGCATTTTTCTGTGATGCGCCATCCTTTACAGTAGATTAAAAACATTGAAAAAATTTGAATGCCATATTAGCTCGTGTTTATTTCAACTTCAAATCACTAATAACGGTCCTGTCTTGTGATAGTGACATTACTTACGTGGATTTTCCAAGATATACACGGCAGGTGTCGTTGATGAAGCAGAAGATTTTTACTCTTCCGGATTGCGTAGTCTTATTCTCCTTCTACGGTTTTCAGTCTCCGTGTAACTCTTTATTTTGTTCATATTTTGCCTTAGTTTGATTGAATCTGAGTTTGTATTATGATTATGATGATATGGTGGTATTTGTTGTAGGTTTGCACTTGATGACACATAAAGTGGTTACAAGCTTTTTTTTATTATTATTGTTTTTGATTTTAAACGATGTATTTGGTACATTTAAAGCACCACCTGTCATGCCGACTTTATTGTATATCTTACCTAATGTTATAAGCGTCGTCTTGGTTACGCGATGTGTCTTGCAAAGTTGCCTCCCTCTTTACTTCGCTGGACCCTACGCCTGCCGTATTGTGTGATGTTCGGTGGAGGTACTCAGCAGCAACTGTTTTCTCCCAATGTGTCAATTGCCTACCTTTCCGAGATACCTTACTTAACAATGCTGTAGGGATAAAACATACACAAAACATTTAAAAGTTTCATTCCTAGTCGCAAGGAAACAAAAACTTTCACCAAGGAAATTGAAGACCATAAAACATAATATGTGCAATAAGTTCATTTTCGAGTACAAAACTAAGACGGTTATTGCATATTTTAGAACTCTTTTCAATAGCGAAAGCGCGACGAATCAGTATAATATCGCAGTGCTGTAAATAAGTTAATGTTATTTACTTACTTATTGTTTCGTGTATGATGGTTTTAAAACGAATGTCAGAAATATTGACATAAGTGACAATCGAGTTGTCTTTTTCCTGGTATATTTTTAATGCTGCATTGAATGTTTTTTTTTTTTATTTTCGGCCGAACAATTTGTTTACATTTGATAATTGGTAAGCAAAAACGTCAACATCTCTCTCGATCACCAAATCAAAAGACGTTAAGGCTAAATTCATCTTGATTCATCTCGCTGAAGATGGAACATCAAAGTATGCCTTTTAATAAGGAGATAAATGGTTATCATTCACAGTTCTGTCATTTCTGTTGGAGAAACTGATGCGTAATGATGAAATATAAAGTTAGCAGATATTTGAAGTAAAACGTTTATACACAAACAACGATATTCATCATCTAATGATTTATTTCAAGTACCTTTTTTGCTGTATATCTGAAATGAATTAAGTATACACAGTCATACTGAAATAAAGACACACGTTATTTCGTAACAGTCGCTCACTTAATATAAAAAAAAATGTAATACAATGTCCCAGTAAAGTCACAGGTCACAATTCTTACGGACAATTAGGACCTGTTAATATAAAAAGAGGTCCAAGGGGCCTTAACGGTCATCTGATGAATATGTCAATAATCTGGGGATTTTAAAATGTTGCAAAAATGTAACAACACTTGTGCAGGACCGTGTGTAAAACATCTGTACCAAGTTTGAACATGATCCACCCAGTGGTTCTTGAGAGGAAAACCAAAATGTCTTAGCCAAACAGAGGCCAGGGTTGCATATTTATATAAAGCAAATAATGTTTTCATTTACAAGTTGAAATATAGCTTAGTAGATACATGTATAGCTAAAGTATAGCAAAAAATCAGATCAATTTCAAGTCTATCTTTTTCTTGCCTAATACAATAAGGCATCCAACTAAAAAAACTCACATAAAACAATGTGAAAAATCTTGTGGTACATCTGAGACAGGAATATATATGTATCAAGGCTGAGAAATGTAGTGTTACCACAGGTATTGAACCATATTATACATGTAGCTCAGAACATAGACGGTTCAGCGAGTAATAAGATCCGGGTTTGATGAAAGATCTGGCTACACATTTTTCCCGCCTATATGGTTGTCATAAACACACAACATGTCTTTATCAAAGATTAATATGTAACAGATATCAGAAGGGCTAATTTTGGACCAGTTATTTTTATTCTCATAAACTTTGAAGTCTTTTCCCTAAAGATCATCTATATGAAGTTACACTTTTGGTTCAGGACAAGAAGATTTGCTAAGATTTAACAAATTCTACCCCTTTCTGCCCCTTAAATATGCCCCCATTGAGGCCACACCTTTTTCTATTGTAAACTTAAAGAAGCTTACTTTACCTAATTTTACTCCTTTTTTACCCCCACCTGGGGCCCCTATTGCAGCCATTACTTCCCCCCCAAACTTAATGTGTCTTAATACACAGATGCTTTGTGCTTAGTGTGGTTGTAACCCAAAAACGTGGTCAATGCCATTAGAACCAATTTACAAAAAAAAAAAAAAATTTAAAAATCTAATTGACCCTTTGTTTGCCCCAATGAGGCCCCAGAACCCATCAGACACTTTTTCAACTCAAAGTCACATGCTCTTCGCTAGGGGACCCTATATACTAAATTTGGTTGAAATCCGTCAACTTTGAATTTTTACCCCTGTTTAGTGCCCTGTGGAGGGCCTGTTTATGACCCAATTTTTTTTCTAATTCGCAAGCTTTGTAGACCTTGCTCTAAGAATAATTAATTTTGAATTTTAGGAAAATTTGATACTTGGTTTATAAGAGAAGAAGTCGAAAATGTGAAAAGTTAACGACGCACGACGGACGACGACAGACAAATCATGATGGCAATAGGTCACCTGAGCGAAAGGATAAAAAAATGTAATACAAGTTAACGACGCACGACGCACGAACTTAATCTGACTGTTGGTTCATGCGAAGATTTTAAAAGTTTTACCTAATTTTACCACCTTCCCCCCCTCCTGAGGCCCCTATTGGGGCCACGCCCTTTTTCTTCGCAAACTTGAAGCGTCTTTCCATGGGTGATGCTTTGTGCCAAATTTGGTCAAAATCCATCCACTGGTTCTTGAGAAGAACTCATTTAAAGAAGGTTTTTACAAATGACCCCTTTTTACGCCCCTTATGGGCCCCAAAGGGGACATTATCACTTTTTTCACATAATTTCATATGTCCTTCACTGAGGGATGTTTTCTACCAAATTTGGTCGAAATCGGTCAAAGTTGATTTTTTACCCATTTGAGCGCCCCCTAGTGGGGTCGTTTTTGACCTGATTTTTTTTCATTCGCAAACTTTATAGACCATGCCATAAGGACCCTAAATATCAAATATGAACTTAATCTGACTGTTGGTTCATGAGAAGAAGATTTTTAAAGATTTACCTAATTTTAACCCCCTTTTTTGCCCTCCTGTGGCCCCTATTGCCACGCCCTTTTTCTTCGCAAACTTGAAAACGGCTTCCCATGGGGATGCTTTGTGCCAAGTTTGGTCAAAATCCATTCAGTGGTTCTTGAGAAGAAGTCGAATATGTGAAAAGTTACCGACGCACGACGGACGACGACAGACAAATCATGATGGCAATAGGTCACCATGAGCCTTCGGCTCAGGTGACCTAAAAAATGTAATACAATATCCCAATAGACACAGGTCACACTTCTTAAGGACAATCAGGATCTAATTGATATAAAAAATGTAATACAATGTCCCAGTAGGCACAGGTCACACATCTTAAGGACAATCAAGACAATGATATGGGGAAAGCAATATCTCATCTAATTAATAGCTTGACTATAGTTGATTTTATCTAAACTTGTATCAAAAGATGCTATTCACTTCCATATTTTGTAAAATGTTTTGGGGAGCCTGGTAGGCACTGCTAGCTAATTATTAAGCCCAAAATATACATGAAAATCACTGAATTATGAATCTAGTGCACCTCTCATCTCGATCCTAACTTATCTTTCGATCGCTTTGAATTTTCCTCGGTTGCCTTCCAGGTTTTAAATTTGGGCCCGTCATTTGTGTGGTTGTTTGCCTGTACTCCAATTTGTTTTACGTATGCTACTTACTTGTGTTATTTTCATAATCTTTATGGGTGATTACTATAAGCATATAAGCAACCCTCAGAAAGGTATAAATGTTACCTGTTGAGCGAAACATTCCTTCTCTGAACCGTCGTTGTGTCAGCTTGATCCACGTACAAACTTGAATCGCATAACTGAAGACGTTAAATGGAGGAGGAAGCACCGTACGATAGGAGTAGTTGAAGACTAAACTGAATTTCTGAAAGCGCCAGTGTAGGTCCGCTTTTTCCTGTATGTTCTGGTATGTGTTGCTTTAAGTTCATGTAATAAAAAAAAAAAAAACGAATAAACGAATTAGAGAGTTAGATAAATATCTATAATTTAAAATAACAAATGATTTTCATATTGGTAAATTGACATTTCAATTAGCATATGATATTATGTTGTTATGTTTGCTTATTTATGGAAACAGAAAAAAGAAGGAAACTTTTACATGAAAACAGACTCAGCAGAAGTAACGTCTCCAAATATATATAAGAATAACAAGTGACAAATACCTGAATATAGCGATGAGAAGATTGATTAGTAGAATGTTTGCGATCAGCATGTAAATACCCATTAGGATCGGAACAACAATCTTTCCTTCCTCAGAAGGACAGCGGGGTTGATCACCATTTTCATACAGATTCACGTTGGAGGTACACTCTTTCTCTACGAAACCAATTATCGACATTTTTTATTTAAAAAAAAAGATGAAATATCATCTGGTCTTTTAATTAACTCAATGAAACATTTCATTTTCATGACTGCAGTTTTTGTGTTATGGAGGGTGCGAATTTACTACACTAATCAATATGATTGAATTCGGAATCTAAGACCGATCTTAGGTACAGCTTGTTTTGTCGGAATGAGTATGGGGAGTATGTGTGATAAGTGTAAGGGCCTGTATATATGTATGTGAGTGTATATATATACTGAAAGGATAAAGAAACGCAGGGTAATATTTATTCCGATATTTTGAAAACGCGTTCTCCAAATAAAGTGAAACTTTGTTGTTTGTGTAATTAGGTCATATTACACCTTGTCATGTATCGAAAATTTAGTCACGGTACAGTGCGCAGCTCTGGTAAATGGAGGAAGGAAAAAACAAGAATCTCGTGCACCGTGTTGTTCTGGTCTCATGCAGCGTTGGTCAAGTCACTCTTCGTTAGTCTTTATACAGACCAACTGCTTCCCTAAAATTAATTGAGAATTTGATTCATTTTAAAAATGGCACGACTCACAGAAGTTCAGAAGGGTCAGGCCATTCAGATGCTGATGCAAGGTCAGCTGCAAAATCAGGTTGCTAGGCACTTTGGTGTTAATGTTTCCACCATAGAACGTCTTGTAAGACGTCTTCGGGAAACTGGGCGATTGGCCGATCGACCTAGGTCAGGACGTCCGCGCGTAACGTGACGACGTCAGGATCGCGATATCGTCGTCTCTTATGTGCGTAATCGGCGCCTTACTGCCGTTAAGAGTGCACTTAATGTTAGTGGAAATCATGGGCGTCCTATAAGTTCAAAAACTGTGAGGAATCGATTAAGAGAAATTGGTGTAAGAGCACGTCGCCCCTACGAAGGTCCACACCTTACCCCTGCTCGACGTCAGCGTCGTATGGCCTGGGTCGCTGCACATGCTCCACGACGGTTTCCACTGAGGCAGTGGAGACAAGTTTTCTTCACGGACGAGTCTCGATTCTGTCTTTATCGATCTGACGGCCGTCAACGCGTCTACCGACGTCGTGGCGAACGTTTTACGGACGCTTGCGTTGTAGAGAGGGATAGGTTTGGGGCGGTTCATTAATTGTGTGGGGATGAATCTCACACGGGTTAAAATCACAATTGGTTGTTATTGATGGCAATTTAACAGCAACTAAGTATAGAGATGAGATCCTCCGACCCATTTCTTACAGTAGCATAATCTAACCCTCCAGCAGGATAATGTTAGGCCCCACGTAGCAAGGATTTGCCAAGTCTTTCTGGCCAACAACAACATTCAACCACTAGATTGGCCGCCATATAGCCCTGATTTGTCCCCGATCGAGCATCTTTGGGACCAGTTGGATAGACAGGTTCGAAAGCGCCAGCCACCCCCTGCTACTCGAGATCAGTTGACCAGAGCTCTGATTGAAGAGTGGCACAACATCCCCATAAGACGGATTAACGCTCTCATGAACTCTATGACCTGAAGAATAAGGGCCGTGACCACAGCAAACGGCGGACACACAAGATATTGATGACTCGGTTCATTCAATTTAATCTTTAGTACCTCTAAACCAATTGTCAGATGCAAAATAAAGACTTTGGAAATTTTTAAGCTTTAATTTATCTGTAAATGTACAAAATTTCGTTTTAAATGAAGCCCGATATCATACTTAATTTCTGGTTTAAAGTTCACCCTGCTTTTCTTTATCCTTTTAGTATATGTATGTATGTATGTATGTATGTATGTATGATGCTTGTATGTGTGTTTGTATGTATGTGTGCTTGTTTGCGTGCGTGCGTGCGTATGTATGTATGTGTGTGTGCCATTATACAATTGCGACATTACCACTCTACGTAGAATAATGCCGACCTGCTACTACATGTAGGGACATAAACGTGTTTGTGTGATGTTGGTCCTCATAGAAAAACAGACGGATTTTGCTAAGTAACCATGGTTATCATAAGGTTTTCATTTAATCTTGGTATTTGCGGTCATTTTATAAAACTATTCCAATGTGGTTTTTTTCATAAGCAAAATAGTATATCCTTTACTTTCGATCTCTTCGAGGTTAAGTTCACCATACAGGTTCCAGTACGGGATACGGGGAACGTTAAGGAGAAGACTTATGTCGGGTTTGGAGACTGGGTGCATGATGGAATAGACAGCAATGGAGTACGATGACACAAATATCATCAAGATTACCATGAAGGATAACAGATCAGCAACCTGTGTATAGAAAAAGGAGAAATGTAAAATACCAGAATACATCAATGAGTACAGATAAAACAATTCTTACGGCTCTATATGCTAAGAGGAAAACTAAAGGTTACTTGCTTTTAACATTTATTAAGGAATTAGGTAAGGTGCCCCTGTATTCCTCTTATCTATTTATACGGCTATGTTAATTCAATACAAAATCTTTTAAAATTAAAGAAAATTCGTTTCTTTATCCCTTCAGAAGAATGTTTAAATGTTTAAAAACAGTAAAGCTCGCAGAAAAATCAAATGATACGAGAAGAAAAATATAGACATGTCTTCCCTCGCTTGTTTAGGGAATTAAACCTCAATTGTGAAAGCAAATTAAAAAACCCTCTTTTTCAACGAAAGTAACTGATAAATGTTATATAGATGCTAGATTGTCACCATTTTTTTTATTATGGTCACTTTCGGTCCAATATGTGGTACAGTTGAAAACAATCCAAGCAGCTTAAGGAAGAAACACACGAAAGCCAATGCTACATATATCCTTCCAATGCTCTGTAATTCTTCCCTTCTTGAAAAATTTTCTGCGTAGGGTAGATAAAGTTGTATGTACCCAATCGAATATAACGCGACTGCCGGAAAGTTCAGAAAATTGAGTAAGAAATCTTTTGCTGTGGGCACCTTCAACGAAAAAAAGAATAAAGAGAAGTTTTTAAATATATTCCCCTTATCGTTTTTTTAGTAGTAACTTTTTTAGTAGTCAGTCCAAAATTTATATGAACTTTTACAGTATGTTTTCCAAGTATATCTTTTATTATGTATACTCTGTTAAGACCAGTAAACTGATAAATAAATTAGAAAAGCAACATTGCATGAATAATTGTTTTATCATACATACAAAATCGTACCATATTGAAATCTTGACTAATCAAAGGCCAGGAAATGGCGGTTAATTGGTTAATTAATTAGTCGTAATTTTGGCAGTGTTCGTAAAGTCGTTATATATCTATGTCCAAATTTGATAAAAATTGGAAAATCTATGAATATCAACCAATCAGAAAGCACAGAATGGCGGGCCTTTGTTTCGATAAGGTACCAGAATGCTAGATTGTAAAACTCGTTAATGACAAAATAGGTATGATGTGTGGTTAATTGCTACGAATTATATCAAAATATTAATTGTGAGAGAAAAATAAGATTAAATATACGACATTTGTTATCTTTGATACATCACTAATGTGGCATACAGGGCATTCCTGTCCCAACTTGTAGACAACTGAACTTAAACAGGTATAACAACTAACATCCTCTCCTCTTAAAAATGTACGAGTTTGCTCTACTACTGGTACAAAAACTAAGAAAACATTGAACTTCGTATGTTACGAGCGATTTTCTTTCTATCTGGAAGTAAAATGATAACATTTTCTGTATCAGTGTTTAAAGCATAATAAGGAAGGAGACGTTAGTCGTGTTTTCGTGGGGTTGCACATTCGATCCCAATTATTTATCTTTAGATATATCATCTTTTGTAAACAAATTCTAGTCTGGAGTATTTGTTTATTTAAATAGACATTTTCAATAACATAGACTTGGAGACGGACGTTCAGATTTGAGTAAGCCATATTCCTGAAACTTCTGATAGACTGTTCATATAATTTTATTTCATTTATGCCTATGGAATAGAGGAATTTATTAAATCTAATTAAATCTTATATCGCACGAAACCTGATATCACCACTAGTGATGGCACTAGTTATTATCTTTTTCCATGATAATAAAGTTTTGTAAAAACGGTGTTTTTCTAGTAAATCGAATGAAATCCGCCGATATTCCTATTCGGACGCAAATGTAAGGAAGGTGGGTTAACTTGTTCCATCAAAACATGACATACATTTCTGCTTTTATTTTTGAAAATTCAATAGTGTTGTAAGCGAATCGTGCCTGAAAACAGCATAAAGTGAGTAAGTACTATGTAGAGTACCTCATTAAAAATGACGTATCCCTATTGTCAAGCATGTCGGCAAACTATCAAACGCAAAACATATCTTCCGAACATTTTTGCTCTCAGCAATTTTTATGTTTGGTTCGACATTTTTTATTTGTGCTTCCCTTAAAATTGTTATGAATATAAAATATAATGGTTTCTAATATTTTAATTCCACGGCATGTTTTTCGAGACTTGAAAGTTAACAAACATAAAATTACGATATCATATGATGTCTGTCTTAGGGAAAGCTTACTCCAGGATGCGACATACTTTCATGAAATCCTATTAGATAAAAGTTAAATGAAAAAATATATATTACACATGTTTGTAAAAAAGTACAATTCAGGATTATTTTTTTTCTTTTCCTGAATCTGATATAGGGTTTGTATTGAGAGAATAGAAAATTGCTCTCTAGCAGCAAAGAAACATATTCACACAGTATGTATTTGAAATAAGGTACACCAAAATAACATAACATTATCTTAAGGTGTGTTTGATATCAAATGAATATGAATATGATTTTAGAATGGTACCTTCATTCATTAACAGCATAACATATTGATAAATGGTAGCATAGATATCTTATTTTGATGACACAATGTTTGTCTTGTTTGTGCGACCTTAGCTAATTTATTTCATAACAAAATAGTAATACGAAATTTATAAATATTTATTTCCTTTTTTTCCCTAAGATGAAATTATCATATAAATGTAATCAACCATCTCAGCCTGTCATGTCTACATCAGTTCTTACCTGCATACAATAGTCGACCACAATACAGATGACCCAGGTAGTAAGTATAAGTTCTATTTCCGTGACCCTTGTGTCAAAATGGAACAAAATTGCGTAGCTGAACAACAACAAAAATGCTGTATGGGACATCTGTGTAAAACAAAACACAACCACATAGATCATATAAGAAAGTTCAACAGTTTTCAACAACGTTAATAATCAATTATTTGCAAATGAATATTGCGCTTGTTTCTTATATTTGTTGTTTATTTGTGTTAGATACATGTAAACATTCTGTTAGAATCACATGATGTATAAAAAAATTGTTAGAATTAAAAAAAAACTTTCAAGTACGTTTTTGAATTTTGAATATTTTTGGAACCATCTTAAAACTGTTTCATTTACGATTTTCGATTAATTTTTCTTTTAACACAATAAGTAATATCCCGAAAGTGTCTTTAAGGTCTTCTATACTCACACAATAAAGAATATGTTTCATCCATGGTGCTTGAAGGAAATGCTTTGCCCGTAACACATTTGCACTGTCAAAGGGAATATCTGTCATGATTTGCATTTATTAATGAATAATTGCTTTCTCTTTATACATGTATAATAACTACATCTACCACGTATTTGAATCATTGCACGTGCGAGCAACTTATACTTATATTTCGTCTTAAGAAGTTGATAAAACCGATCGTATGCTACGCAATAAGCTAATATCACGTGGTTCTCTATAAAATCAAATCAATGATGCTAACACTGCATTTGTTCCATCAACAGCATAAGGACAAATGACTTTAATGGTAATTCTATATAAAGTGTCGTTTTGATTATCCAGACAGATCACATATTCATCTTATAAACAAATCATATTACATGGTTCAAATACTGCGAATGAAGTGATTTTGTGAGGAAAAGGCTTTTAAAGATATAGAAACAAATATTTCATTTTTCAGCTGGAAACTGTTTACAGAAATACAGCTGTTCCCTTACCTGGCTAATGTTAAACAAATGAAGAGCATTGATACCAGAGTCAGTAGTAAAGGCATTGCAAGCGTGCTAGTCTCAGATATATTGAAGTCATTTTGCACTACCCTTTGATTCACTGGGAGTCATGTATAATACGAAGCATATTTAAACGGCCATCCCATGTTCATTTCTAAACAACGTAATACGGAATATACTCAAAGTTTCCTTTACCTATAGGACCCTGAGTACTTGGGTCATGATTTTGTCACTTGTTGTATTGTATCGCACAGTATGAAGCTTCCATTAATAAAGAGCACGTTATCTGCCATATCTACATCAATCTTAAGTATTTATTTTTGTAATTTTGGCTCATTAAACTATTTGACATCAGTCACATGTTTGAATCAAAATTTAGAAAAGCACCTAAAGACAGCTCACTCCTTGTTAACTCTGTTTTTGGATTATGAGAAAAAAAGAATATGTTAATCGTTAACAGACGAACGACAGACGACGCCGGTTTAAAGACGATCGAAATAACTTAGTTGAACCTGGTAACCATGAAATCTACATCTTTAACAAGTTATTGGTTCTGCTGACTCATGGACGTATTCGTGAACGAGACTTGATATTCACGATTTCCTTACTTAATTGATAATGCCTTATAGTTCACTTTCTCTTGCTGCATCAATACATCTATTACTGACCTTAATATTGTTCCCCGATCAAATACTATTAATAATGTTTGCAGTATGTAAACTGCTTTTTATGGTATGTTATATTCATCAAGTTTGAGAGACGAACAGTACCTACGGGCATTACTTACCAGAATGCTGAATCCTGAGAACTGCTACTGTCTTCACTTTCTACGTCCTCGTTTGACTAAAATGAAACATCGATGTAAGCCTGGGTTTTTACAACGTCTGACCCAGTTAGATAATTGTTTCTTCATAGGTAATATAGGAGTTATAAAGATACTCACTAATTAAGACGTATAACATGCAAACTCACCGCAAACATGATGGACTAAATTCATCATCAGAGGAACTAATAATTAAATTTCACTACATGCTCATTATTGAAAAAGGGTATTAAATGTATTATAAGGATGTTTTGTTTTTGTTTTTTCATATTTTTTTTAAAGTTTTGTTTTTGTTTTGTGTTTCTTTTGTTTTTTCTTCAATTAGTAGTTATTGCCCAAATACTGCAATGCCATGTTTCCTTCTTGTGAATGGGCCATCGATAGCAGAATAATTTTTCTGTGCGTTCTATTTTTTATGGTTCAAATTTATGGGTTTTCACAAAGGGATCCAAAAGTGATTATTTTTCTTTAGTTTTCTTTATTCATTCTATATTAACCTGTAAAAGGAAATTGGTGTTTTCCGGACTATGCAACTGAATATTTAAGCATTTGTCTCTTTATTTGTACTACCCCTGTGGTCCATCAACTTATATCAATATATTTTGTTTCGCCGATAATTTCAAAAATCTCAAACCACTTTTTTATTTTTTCAAAACAACTTTAAAAATGAACACTTTTACTCGTCAATAATATAATTTAGCGTTTTTCCGAACAAATGCTGCGCGAACTAAGATATCGAACAACAGGGTCCGCATTCATGAAACCATTCTCATGCTCAAACATATATTTTGTGCTCAGGAAAACTTTTTTAATTATTCACCTAAATCATATAAAATAATACAAATGTCAGATTTAAACCTTGAATATAGCTTTGACTTGAAGTCCTTTCAAAATTATCTTTACATCTTCCCCAAAATCAGTCTTATTTAATAATTTTTATCTTAAACAAGACATAAAGCTTGAGCACAAAATTCATGCTTGAGCATGAGAACGGTTTCATGGTCTTGTATTCATGGATAGTTTTCTATACACTAAATCAGAATAAACATTGTAACACTGCCAGCATCATACCACGTATCGACGTAAATGAACGATTGCATGTTATTTCAGCAAAAGAACACGGTATAGGACAACCAATGAACAGGATGTCACTTCAGCATGCTACGTAGATACGAACGTTGCATTCTTCATTGATTACTAGTGTAGTTTAACTTCAGCTTAACAAAGCTGTGCACTCAGCATGCTGTAAAAGGTAATGGTCGAAAGTGCAATTCACAGGTGAATCCTGCTTTCCTCTTAAAGTCAGTAATGGTCTTGTCGATGTGGAGAACGTTACAGCGACTGTTGTGTAATTCAGTATCGTCAGTTTGGCAGAAAGAATAAAATGATTTTTAGTGACATAATAACGAATGAAAGACCAATTAAGTTATATAACAAGGCGGCTTGACCGGTTTTCGCTACCATGACGAAATCTTACATCATCACGTTTGCCGTTTATCCGTAATAGCCAGCAACCGAACAACGCACAACCTCTTATTGCGCGTGGTCGTGGGACATGAAAGTCACCGTGCTGCCTGCTGTGCCACCAGTTTTGTCCCCGAATCGATCACGTCTGTGATGACATTAAGTAACGTTGGATGCATTACGTCCTACTTTGTCAGGTAACAGCAGAACATTCCTCAGCCATTTCTGCGTAATGTGATCGGTTCTATATGTCATGATTGTGTGGCATGCATCAGCGCAAAGTGCGGACAAACAGAACAGTGAAATAATACAGCTTGATTTGCACCCTCTCCCTATGTATCCTTGTACCCTGTGGCTATTTTTCGATGCCGATTGACGGATTTTTAAGTATGTTGCTATCTTCAACAGCCGGATATTTAACGTACGAAACAGATGACAGCATCATAGATTTACATGCCATCAAACAACATTTTTCTGGTATTGGTTGGCAACTAGAGGAAAATGCATTAGTTTCGTTCTAGTGTTGCAGCAATGATTGGCTTTTGATTTTAGATTCGATATCTCTTGTCATACATGTAATATCAACAGTTTACCTTGTTGGAATGATCGGAAGATGTGGCAAGGTTCCATGATTAAAGCTACACAGCTATGGCACTGTGAGTTTACTTAACAGTACCTAAGCAACTAACATATAAATAACACGAACGTAAAATCAATGACATTATGGCAGAATATGAACAAAGAAAAAGGGGAATAATAACACTGAAACTTTTGAAAATGCACAAAGGGAACAAGACCATGTATTCCGGAAGAGTATGTGACATCCGCTTCACCGACAGCCGCTATAGCATGCAAATCTTGGTCAATTCAAATAAGAATGTTACGACATCAACAGAACGACGAAGCAACTAGCGAAGATCAAGCATATCAAACAAGAAAATAGAATGGGTTATTCCACGACCGGAAAAGCAATGGTTCATCAACCAGCATTCCTCAAGACCGTGTGCAGTGAAGTTTCTCTCATTCTCTGACATCTTGAACGATATATTTGCTCCAAGCCCTTGGGTATCGAATCAACAGCGACATTTATAAAACTTGTATAGGGATAGAAAATTCACTGTCAGGAATACGAAATCCTTACTTCTATCGTACAGTCTAATAAAAAGCTGTCCTTGTCAGCGACTGATACAGAAAAAATTGTTGTGTCCTTCATTTCCAATTCAAGTGAGCATATATGATGGACATGGACAATTATCTCTTTTTTTATTTAAAGACAAGATAACTTGAACATATCTGAAAGTGAAACCGAGAGCCTGAACGAGGTCTCTGGCATAATTTATTCTCAATGAAATGGAAAAGTATTTCTATATTCACATTCAAATTAATAGATGACATTTTACAACATCTTGGACTTTGTATGAAAATTTTAATATCTTAACGTTTTGAAACCGCCTATGTGTTATAAAATGTAAGCCAGAAAAACTTCGTAAGAATAGAATCTACTGAAAACAATGGTTATGACCACTTTTTAAGACTATGGATTAAGGATTGCCAAAGGTTATGTTTAAGCTTTTTGATTTTGACATGACTCTTTTCCTTTCTCCTTACATTTTATTAGCATTTAGAGTGTCGAATGAGAGAATTTTCACAAGCATTTTTAAAAACTAAATGTGTTATATGATATTACATGACCATCCTTCCATACATTGTTTTCTCTTACCGGAGAGCCTTTTCTTGTGAACGACGATATTTCCCCACACCAAACAGCGTCCACAATGTACTGTATTAGGCCATTTGCGGCAAACTTTCTATTGTTCGTCATTAGGGCAATCTCGATGCATGTGATGTCCTCCCATCTTCCCATATGTGTCATTAACAAGTCCATGGCTTTCTCGTCGTCATTCTCAAAACATTCGAACGTAATGTCCAATGCAAGTTGACAGAATTCCCTAGAAACGAATATAAGTTTGTGTTTACTGTGTATTGTTTGTTGTGACTGCATGTAATCTCAATAACAATCTTAGGATTTCCGAAGGAAAAATGTCCATGTTACATGCCGCTAATCCAGTAAATGATTTTTATGTTGCATTACTGAAACTTCAATATCATTTTAAACTGATTCTTTAAAATGTAAATACGATTCATACTTAAAACACCTGTTTCTTTTTTATGGAACTTATCTGTGCGTGTAAAAGGACGTTATCTGGAATTGCGATATATGTTACTTGATGCTGTGTGATAAGTGACTCTCTGCTTCATCTGCTTGGTCAATCCAAATAAGTAATGTCACTTTCTCAAATGAGAACAAGGTATACAACAACAGAACAAACAGGTAAACTAACGAGCATCAAATACGTCCAGCTTCATGTCGCACAAATAAATGTAATATTTCTCCATAAGATCACTATTGCGACCATAAAACTTCCACCTAATTTCATCAACCCGCATATTTTGTGGACACAAGAAAGTACCTTTTTGATTACCTACACTGCATGAACATGAAACAAACATTGTAATACAAAGTGTATTCATACATACCAGTACATGCAATTCTAATTTTCACATCAATCACGTTGTAATCATTTTCACAATGTAAAAGTGAATGCCCTATTTCAAGTACAGAGGTTAAGCTCTAATATCTGTAGAATTTGTGGATTTTTCGCTAGCTGTGCATACATTTTTTAGCTGAAAAATGCATTTACATGCTGATGGCTTACGATATCAGATGATATTGTCTCGTTATGAAATATGTCGATCCAATATATGTATGCACTTGTAACTTCCAACAGCAGATTGTTTCCTTGGATCATACCACCTAGTAAGATCAGTCCCTCTTTACTTGAATCCGTGTTAGTCACTTTTGTTTCTTTTCCATTGTTGTAATATAATCCTGGCTTTTGGATGTTTCAATTGAATAACATAGGAGTTGATTAATCTAAACACATTAAGGCAATCGCATTGGTTATACATCTAGAAGCCTAGATTATATATCAACAATGGAAACAATGTCTTTTGATATATATATATATATATATATATATATATATGTGCAATTTTTAGACATCACTCATGACTTTACTATCATATCAAATAGTAAATATTGAGATCACGAAAGTTTTTTTTTTATTTTTTGTGCATTTCACTGTTACCTGTTAAAGATTGATAAAACTTTGCTATGTCGCCGTAGAAAGTATCTTATCATTATTTGCGATTAGGTCAAGCCAATTTACTATGCCGTCAAAATCAAATCTGCTTTTAAATAACACAAAAGTAACGTACTCATATTTCATGTTTATTTTTTTTCTACGGATCACTCTCTTTGATGTTTTTAAATTACACAGTAAATGCATTCTTACTACATCAGTAACATTAGGAATGTGTTATTGACAACGAGGATTTATTTAACCAAACCGAGTCCGATTCAAGTATATGAGTACGTTAATGTTTGCAGTTGTATACTTAAACTGCAGACGTCATATAACTGCAAATGAAAATAGTTAAAATCTGAGTATCAAATGAAAAGGGAAAATACACTTTTTTTAGTTTCTTTTTACTTTATCATTTGCTAGTTTTTTAAATTTCCATACATTTTTAAATGTTTCATTGGATGTTTGTATATAAACGTGACATCTGACGAAGTCTGATTTAGAACGTTGATAAAGGATGAACATTGCGAGATTTGGAATTCATCAATGTATGGCTCGTGACAATACCGCAAAATTAATTTTTCTATAAGTTTATGATCTAATTTAATCTTTTGTTTCTATTACTTAATATACTTTGATAACTATTCATATTAAATGTGTGTATCGTCACTGTGTATTGTATGTTTACAAATGCTATTTTGAACATGTTAATTAACAAACATGTTGATGATTTTCTGTATTAATTGACTGTGCTCTTGATTCTGTGTACCATTATGATAGATTTTGATTTTTCCCGTTCATCTCGTCAGATCAGTCCATCCGAATGTTCACAAGACAGGATAATCAAATAGAGAGAAAATAGTATGGTATGAACTGAGATGGGAATCGCCCTTTGTAGTTCAATCCGACAGACTGTGTGTAAGTGGTTATTTGTTAGGAAAGTGTTCATGCTTATAAATTGAGGGACTTCAGATCATAGAGATAAATGGTTTTATCGATCGAGTAAAATTGAAATTAAATTGAAAAGTTCTACAAGTGTAAGCATAACGATAAATTCACGAACGCTGTCGGAGAAAGGTAAGAAGCAAAACATTAAAAAAAACAATAAAATACAGTAAAAGTGATACATTGACATGAAGAGGTTACGGGGATTTTCTTTTGTTTTCTTTAAGGTTAATTCACAGCAAATTGAACTTACTCTGCATTCTTTGTCAGCTTGTCCTTCATGTTTGGAAAACGGGAGGACTTTGATATTTTCTTCAGCAGTCTGCAAGCAATCAGTGCCATGGCGATTTGGTCCTTATGACACAAACAAATTGAAATATTATATATTACATGACCGCGCGATAAATAAAACTGTATATGTTCTTTGTTTTTAAGTATAATAAATAAACGAATAGCATGTACTAGGATATTTTCTTATTTCCAGAAGTCGATAACATGAATCTGGAATAATCATCAAAAAGGGGTTAGTTTTTGCAGAATTTCGTTTGATACCGTAATGGCTGAGCAACTCCTATTGCATGACATATTTTGATAACTGTTTTAAGACTTAACAAACCGGTTAAATTGTATGTTTTCTAATTTTGGATATTTCAGATTGTTATAGGTCCAATAGGTGTTATACCTGTCCAAATTTCCAAAGCACTTTCGCCATTTCCTGTTTTCCGGTAAGAACGCTCCATAAAAACAGCTGTTGATATCGATCCTCTGCAAAACGTTGTATTGAATAATCGCACTTGTCGCTTAAGACACCATTCATTAATCTTCCATACGACTTGTACTTGTAAACTCCAAATATAGGCTTTAAAGGTGGAATGAAATGCGGTGGATACTCCTGTGGCAATGAAACAAAATGTTATTGTAATGCCAGTGTAATTTATATCTAAGATAACAACACATTTTTCCTATTGACAAAGTAAATATGACGAAAGTAAATATAAAGTGATGTATGAATTGATTATTAGTTAAGGATTACGCCTGTCATAGGTCTAGCTTAATTTTGTTCGATTTATTATAGAAAAAAATACATTCAATGGCAACTCAACAAGTCATATTTTAAATGTTTCTAGGCATCTAACTACGCAGTCAGTAGAAACAGAAACTTACATAATGGGAAGTGTTGTATCGTATCGAGAAAAAAACTTACTCAAAAAGGTATTTCAAAGACCTAGAAAAATTACTTTAGTTATCTCTTATGAACATATACGTCATTAAATCACGAAAAAAGTTTGTTTGATATTGAGGCAATGCGTTTTATTGGTTACACAAAATCTGAATATCAGGTATGGCTACAACGATTCTTGTAAAGTTCTTATGCCCGTCATCTCATCCCAATTACCAGAAGTCCAAACCTGTTTTGTGGAAACATCAACCGCTCATGAATAAAAGCAATCCGTAATTCTGCATTGTTTGGATTTTTTGGACCACGCGCATTAACATATTGTCCAAGGTAGTCCAAAACATGCTAAATTGGGTTCATGTCTGGTGTAATTACCGATCATTTGAGCGTCTCTATCACTTTTTGTTAAAGATAGTCTTGAACTGGATGGGATCTTTGTGGTTTGGCATTGGCACCCATTAAAATAAGCCAATCTTCCAATAGATGTTCATCGAAATGCAGAATAACTGAAGGTAGAAGGATTTGATCACGGTACTTCTGTCCATTTAAAATTCCATCAAGGGCATGCAAGTGAAGTCTACAGTTTAGAGAAAAAACATTCCCAAACAGAAGCATCGAAACCACCAAATGTCCTTGTGCTTAGAATGTGATTTTTCTGAATGTTTGCGTATTTCTTGGTCTCCAAATACAGACATTGTGGCCGTTCAGACCAGTGGACTTTTGGCCAATAGCTAAAATTTCCTGCCCAGTATCCGTTTCTATAGATGGAGAGAGCAAAATTTCCTATTAACCAAACGTTGTTGATAGTATGCATGAAAACGCAAGCATTGTCCTACAGTTGTCCTCCATGTCTACTAGTGGTGAATGGGGCTCGCCTTGTATGTCTGTACAGAAGTCTATCTTCTCTATCTGTTGTCTTTCTATTTCTGGAAGACCTCAGCGCTCGTAAACATGTCAATTCGACTGCATTAACCGAGAAACAACAGAAGACTGACATTTAAAAATGGAGCTGCTAGCATGCTAGGCATTTGCCATTTTTGGACTTGCAGTTTTGCAAATACAGTATGGACACGTGGAATATTTACCATCAATACACGCGCAATCGCTGTTTCAGGTGGAATGCAAACTTGTGTTTTGTAAAATTACAGGGTTTCCCAATTTAATCCCGGTTATCATCAAATTGGATGTAATGCTTGGTAGCATACCGCACCAACCACTTAAGGAGACACTACAAGGAGTACGACAGGGTGTATGTACATAAAAGTGTAACTTATATTGTAGACGATCTTATATCTTATATAACTGAAATATAGCTTCATATAATCGATTAAAATTGCATGGATACAATGTTTGCAAATGTTGCAATTACAATATATACACAAATTTTCAAAAGAAATCCTAGATCGCAAGTCCAATATGGGAAATTACGCACTAGGCCCCCTTCTGTATCTCTTGCTCAAACAATGGAACGATCGGGCTATTTTTTCAATAAAACATTTGTCTATGCTATAATATATCCAGACCATAATTGTACATTAACGTATTTAGTATACAACTTGAAATTTAAATATTTGAAGAGTTGATGAGAAATAGTTATTCATTTCTAAAGTATTTGAATTTCATCGAAATTCTTCCAGAAAAAACAATTATCAATAATATGCGGTAAAGCTTGTTTTGATGATACAAAACCTCAAAAAGTTCCTTTAGAATTTCTGCGTCCAATAAGGCATTTAACTCCAGTCCGTTTTCAAGGAAAGTTTCAATGAAGTCCGCCCTATCCAGTATGAGTGCCGATAATATCAGTTTCTCATCAGCCATAGCTGCTTCAATTGTCCTTTGCTATGTAGAAATGAATACGACAAAATTATGTTTTATCAGCTCGCTGCATCTAATAATTACGTGGAAAATTTACTAGAACGTAATCATTGCAGTTGTTTCCTATGGTATTATCTAAGGGATGAATCTTAAAACTTAAATCGTCTTGTTTTCCATAGTTACCCCAAAATCCCAACAGCAATCCAAACATTTTTAGATTGTTAGAATTCAATATAGTCACTTGTCGGCCAATTTGTTTTTTCTTTGCATCCCATAATTAAAGGGATACCTCTAAGAACCAACGAAAACTAACATAACATTCTAGAAAGATCCATTAGAAACCTTTCAAGCAAATTGTTTGAATTGATCGCTTAATGGCGCCACCTATAGAGTATGTGAAATGCATTCATGGATTCCAAACAAAGATATGCAGTTATTGAATAAAGGATAAGAAAGCTGTTCGGTAGGTAATATCTCTTGAGTGTAAAACGCCTAGTAATGAATGGCAAGTTATGTTATCAAAGTGATCTGCATCATTAGATGTGTGCGTTAACGATAGAAACAAATAGCACACATGAATTCCCTTCATTTTAAAATACTAGTAACGACAGACCATCTGTTGTGTTGCGTTATTCCAATGACTCCTACATTTATTGCGAAAGAGAGGAATCAGACGGCGGCAATTTGCGTACAAAGAACGAAATATAAACATTAAAGCAAGGGAAACTCGTCCGAAAAAAGTAATCAAACACTGCTAGTGTACCGAACCCTTCAGGGTATCACAAACGTGAAAGATAGTGTATGACGGAATAATAACAATGTTATAGCATATATTGTATGTTACCAGCTGTATACTATTAAGTCAGATTTAGGGAAAATGAATGTTCAATTCTAAACGTTTATAGTTTCAAATACCTTGTCTAAAAGAAGACTTGTAAAAAAGGCCGAGTTGTGTGAAAACTTCATTATGAACTAATATTATCAGTAAGATTATAGAAAATTTCTTGAGTTTAAAGTTCATTAGAACAGTTTCAGCTTACACGGTAGGTAGTAAAGCGGACAGAGGAAACTTTGTTTTTCGTAAATGATTTGTCTATTTATCGTTAAATCATGGCGGAATGAATTATTCGTAATCAACGTAGGAAACCATTACAAAAATTATATATCAGACCATAGGATTTATAGTGAAAAATGTACATTTACATTCATGGAGTGCAAAATATCGCTGTTTGCAATTTCAATTCTATTCCAGAACACAGCAAGCTTCAACTGATTCAGCGGTTGGTCTTTATTGCCTGAAACACATAAACATCTTGTCAGTGGATCATGTCCGTAGTCGATTTCGCCATTTTCCGATACAAAAGATAAGATAGAGCTAACGTTTTCTTGAAACCTAAGTCGCGAATTGTATAGTTCTACAACAGTAGAGGCTAATGTCAATACTCTTATACAACACGTGTAAAAATTGCACGCCTGTCATGACATCTCTCTAATGTTCTCCGTCCGACACGTTCTTTGCGCATCGCGTGTTTAGCAAATAATGTTCTACAATACACATAATATCTAGCAGGGGCGTAAGTTATATAACAATTATTGACAATAAAGTGCTACACACTCACAAACGCTACGTTTGTTAGACACCCTCTTTCTGAAATAAATAAATAAATGAATGAAAAATAAATAGACAAATTCATTTATTAATCACAGTAAACAGATCGTTATTTATCCAAAATCTCAGATTTAGTTTTTTTCCTGCTTTGATATTCTAATGAACTGTTTTTTTTTCTTTTTTTTTTAATCATATCTTTCAGAAAGATCAATCTTAGAACAGTAGATTCGTTTACACTATAAATGATTATCAAAGGTCAAAACTGGAATATGTTTGTGTACGAGAAAAATCTGTAAAATTGCCATAGTCTATGCTTTTATTTAATTATTTTGTTGTGTGTGTGGATGTAAAATGATTACACAGCGCTTGAATAAAAGTTCTGTTTGTTACAAAGCAAGTACCGAAGATGTTTTGATACAAAGGGAAGCTAATGCTAAATTGTCTTGTACTAGTTAACATCTGTTCATTTAGCATAGTACTTTGTGTTATATAAAGACCCATGGTGTTAGTTAGGCTTATATATATATATATAAAACTATATTATTTAGATTGTAAGTATTTACATTCCAGCAGAGCATTTCCTTTCAATTTCATTTTATCCAAACAGCGGATATGCAACGTTAACGTTATAACGATAGAAGGTGTGCCACGCTTAGCTTCACGTCTTTATGGGCTAATGAAATTAAACACACAGTGTCAAACACACAGAAGTCGGCATTATATTCTTTCGGCTGGACCTTCATTTTGAGACTACGAAGCAGCATCATGTCAAACGGCGGCCATGACTAGGTAGCATCACCGGTTAAGAGCCGCCATTTCTACTTGACACAGGGAATTGCTCGAAGGCACAGTGCTTTTATATCTTTACCATGGGAGAAAGCGAGTTACTAATCTTTGTCTCTTGGTTTGTTGAAACAAAATCTGACCACTTTGATGACTCAAACGATGATCTAAAAAATAAAAACTAGACCTTGTTTCAAACCCGATGTCGTTCAAATATTGGAAAGTTGTAGCCCTGTGACAGGAGGTACTTTTTATAACAATGTAATTGCTATTTTGAGGCAAAGCTTACTTTCAAACGAGATTATTTTTGATGATAATTCATTTTCTGTTAAAAGGACAGTCTTACTCTCAGGAAAGGCTTGTTTCTTAAGGTCGGTGCTTTTAGGATATTTCGGTATCATCTACTCGCAGTGTGGAAACACGTATATTTACCTGCGATAAGAGCCTTCAGCATGGCTACGTCAATGTCTTGTGACACATCAAGTGAAGCGGTTATATCAAACACGGTAATCAAATCATTCTCTGTAAGACACATATCAATGATTGTGCAAACATCACTGATTTGTGCATAGCTCCATATTTCTTCTGTCTCCGTATTCATTTCCACCATTCTTGACTGTAGGGACCTCATCAACATCGCTATCAGACTATAATATGGTGTGATACTATGATGATATTATGTAAATGCAGCAACTAAGCATTTTGTAGCCAAAAGAACAAAGGATTCAAATATCCAATCCTCCTCACGGTTACAGGCACCATAACACGAGAATTCAGACAAAGGGTGAATTCCCTTCTCAAAGCTTTTTTGAAGTCCAAAAGGGCAGTAATGATCAGATGGAAAGGTGTGGAAAAGAGGTAAAATTCTATAAATCATGTTGAGTATATTATCATGATAAATAGGTACCTTAAAAAACGCCAATTTTAATTCAGCGTTCATTACCATGTATTGGAATATGAATTATGAATCCACCATATCATAATGAAGCATTCGAAGACTAGGGAGAAGGCTGTACCCAGCGAGAAGCTTCAGAAAGGAATTAAAAATTTGACACCCCACTGTAACGTTACGGAATTAACGTACAGCAAATAAAACCCCAACAGCTAGGTTAAAATTCAACAACTTAATAACAACAAATAAATTGGAAAGAATTCACAATAGATTGTCCAGAATACAGGGTAACCGAAGAATAATCCAAGAATTGTTTCCTCGCTGGGTACATATAAGTGCAAGTCCAACAGGCACTATCACTTAATCACTGTAAAATCCCACACTTCACAGATTGAAGTCTCAAAGTAAGCTCACTCAAAGTTTTTGTGGTATCTCCTAAATAGTATATATATAACAGTTAAAGGGACATAACTCTTTAGTGAATATACGCATAAACTGTATTTTGAATTTTCCTGTATTGAAGGTGAATAAATGTTCTTTTGTTGTGTACAAAGGGCAACGGCATGTTTGGCTGGTTTGTCAAGTTAAATCTGTTGGTTTAATTAGGTATATGATCACCATCAGGCATCCTGTATTCTACAGCGTTAATACTTCAAAAAGGCTGCTTAGGCTCAGGTCCTTCAGTTGTATACACACTAAAGGTTTCTAGAAAATTCCTTTCTAGATGATTCTAGATTAGCAGGTACCTAGCTTGTTTACATGTGTCTTTAGAAACACCCAGGTAATACTAATAACCGAACGTTCTAGAAAAATCTGCCTAGCACTATCTACATATATTTTGACAAATAATCATAAACAGGTTTTTTTTATGTAAACAATCAATATGATACAATGTATGTAAACACAGCACATCTGAATTTGGATTAATACAAAACATTTATACATACCCCCACCCCCCTCCCCCCGCCCCCATAAAAAAATGATAAAACAAATAAACAAATAGAGAAGATGTTAGCGGACATTGATGAGAGAAAATGAAGCCTAAACATTGCATCTTACCGAAACCTTGAATGATATGTCCTGATTACCCTGCTTCTGAACGAAATCGGACCATAATACCACGTCCTTTCAATTTGTTTTCATCGAGGTATGTCCTCAGTATCAATAAGAAGGATTACGGAGGAGAAGGTTCTAGACAAGCGAAAACAAGGAGGATGAATGACAAGCCATGGATCTCACTCCTGCAATCCGAAGCCAGAGCATTGAAGAAAGTAAAACAACTGCCCGCTTCCATGATTCGAGCAAAAGTGCCAGATTCTGCTTTGGAGTCAGTTGCCGAACCCATGGTTTGTTAAACCATCTAATTAAAGCGGAAAGAGAGGAGGATGAATCTACCTTCGGTAGACAATCGCTGTAACGGAACAAGATTGTGGTACTTATATAGCCAAAGAAGAACTTCAATAGTTCAGAGAGGACGTTCATGATCAGCTGAACAAACACTGTGGCCGGATAAAATCTTTCTGCCAACATCAAGGAAAATGTTTCATCCTCCTGGTAGACGGCAGGAGAGAAATATCTTATCGATCTTTCTGGTATACTCCAGAGGAGGAAGACATTATTGATCACATGATGAAACCTTACATGTCCCTAGAAAAGTCTGTCTGAGCGAGACCGCCCGTGATAGCTTCAACCAGCGTGCATCATCATGGACAAGAGGCTCTTCTATCAGCAGCGAAGACATAGCTATGCATCTATTTCAAGTTAAGAGCATCCACAGAACAAGTGTTCGAATCTGGAGCCATCGAGACAAATTTTGGCAACAAAATGTTCATTGCTAAAGTCAAAATATTCTGATAGAGAAAGCAAACTACATGAACAAATATTTGACAAAAGAATTGATTCAAATGGCTGAAATTATGTTCTCAGCGGGACTCAAATCTGGCCGTCAGCTATCTGCGAGCACCATAAAAGAAAGAGGAAATCACCCTGTCTCTGTGTTATGGTGTAGGTGACTGTAGGGAGGGCGATATATTTGAATAGTACTTTGTTATTTTTTCTACAAATATAAGCATAGATACATAATTTGCGTGTTAAAGCCGATAAACAGCCATCATGTTTCTAATAACTCTTAAATGTAAACGTACACAAACAAAGATCTGGACTGCAATATTCGGATATTGATGTTTTCATTCTTCCATTATATCACTCTTCGCTTCATTTTGAGGTGAATATCTTATTCACTTACATGTATTGATTTATCTGCATATATCACATTTCTCTTAAAATCCTCCTTATATCTATAACTTAAGAGTTCATATAGATAAGTTTGCCTCACCTTTCTTTAGGATGTTCCTTGAAACGTTCGGACATCTCTCTAGCAAGCTCAAACCCATATGCTATCAAGTCCGCGGCTCTACCTGAACCCTGTAAATATAACATTGTTTTTAAATTTCGGGAACGTAAGAAGAATGTAGTTTAAATTTTTTCGGATAGGTCACTTTGATTTTGCAAACAATTCATCATATCTCAAACAAGTAAACACCTTGTGAGACTTTATGATTTATCCAAGAAAAATGACCAGTTAAACCAAAGTGCACAGAAGTGTACATTGCAAAATATTATTTCCAAAGGAACTTGCATGCATAGCTTTGTTTACTGAAGTGGAAAGTAATGTGCGCGATTACAATACAATTGCTGACCTTAATTAATTCTAATTATGGCCGACGGAACCAAATTTATTACCAACATAATCATAAACAAAACCAAAATTAAATAATAATAAAAAAAATAGGAAAAAATGGGATCAAAAGAAAGACTAGATATTTCGGAATAGTAAGCGTCTTCTGCTTTATCGGCAACAAACGTCATGTAAATCATGGTTACCCGAAGTAGGTAATGTCATGTTTGCAAATGAGAACAATGTGTACTATAGGCAAAAAACGAGCATCAAACACCCAAGATTGGTATCGCACAAAGAAATAGAATATCATCATGCTTAAGCCCACTTAATCTATTTCAGATTTATTTTGTTTTTGATGCCAATTTCCTTATATAGAGTCGGCGTTAATGCCATTTTCTGTGCTTATCTAAAGAGATGTATGGTAAGTACAATGTCTATATCAAGGTGCATGTTATATAGCAAGCCTGTACAGTCCTTAATCAGAAAGCCAACAAAACTGATCTCAAAATGTTTAAAAATTTGATATGACAAGATGCATCATTCATGATCTGTTTGAGGTTTATTTGTGTGTAACACAATTGGTTACATAAAGGGCAGCTTTCTTTTACACATAGTATCAATACTGTTTACCCCTTGGATATTGATAAGAAAACGTTTTAAAAAAGCGATGAAATGACTGATATAAGACGTCGAACCGGGGCATAAAGTCATCGATCTTGTTGAACAAACCATTTGTACAATATCAAAGTAAGGCACTGTTTGCCTCATGTTGTCAATATGCGCAAATGATTGAGGTGTACATACTCATACGTCATCGATTCGTTTGCAAAAGTGTTTCATTTTAGAGAAAACAAATATTTAATGGTTATCGTGAGTCTACCAAACATTATGAATCCTTCAACTTTTTGCAACCTTCACACATCACTTGTATCTTCTACAAATTTTCACCGATCCATCTGTTTTGAACCGATACTTTAGATGTTCTCTGAGCTGTATATAGTTATTTAGGTCGATAGGCTTTTACCTTGAAAACTATTGTTGGCGTCCTCTTCTTGATAGCATTCAGTACGGTTTTGATTGTGTTCTTTCCTCCTTCCACAACTAGCAAGACGACAGGTATAGAAACAGTCCCTGGGAGAAACAAAAAACCCTAGAGAATGTGAAATCGTTTTTGCCACTCGATGTCTTGCAAAGCATTGAGAGACACCTAATGAGCATGTTTTTATAAGACCCATAATATGAGACCATCTAAATATCAGACCTAGTTGTTTCGTATTAAGTTACACGTAGATGCACTTAATTATCCTGAAATATAGCAGCAATTGAAGTGCACGTTTGTAAAGTGTCAGTCGTCATAATTTTGTCTTTTATATTTTCTCTCTCAAATTATAAACAAGGAAGATTTATAAAACGTTTATTATTAGACAAAATTTAACTTTTTATTTTTGCAAACGTTATTTTTAGAGTAATATGACATATTTCATCCTTACCGTCTTCTATTGTCATGTTTGCAATTGCTTGTTCAATTTCCGCGCGAAAAGCAATTTCTTTTCCAAATTGATCGTTCGATCCATCGTCCACTAATATAAAGTGAGTGTGGTTTGGGTTTAGAAACGCTTTGTTTGTTGCCGCTGAATATGGATACATGCATGTTTTATGGTTATCTCCTGTCGTGTTTCTGAGGCAGTTTCGACCTTCAATAGCGCCCCATGTTGCTATTCCAATGGCAACAATGGATCTTTGGCTTGTGATGTTGAAATCATGAACCGCTTCACCAACTACCTTCATGATACCTGTGTCGGTTCCTTCGCTTATTATCCATGGCCCTGAAGGACAAAATACAGTGCAATGGAATATGTGTAAGTTTCCTGAGTATTTCTTTCTTATTTGCTGAACAGATCTTGGAATGATTATTTTATGGCATCAATATCAGAGGATTCTCTCTCTCACAAAATAGTTATAACTTTGTGAATACTTTTTTCGTATGTCACAACCAGTTTGGAAAACAATTGCGTGACATTTCGACGACAAGACTGTACCTTTCATCAGGACAATGAACAGTTAACTGTATGTGCACTAAGGTTTAGAGTATACAGGTTGTAAATAACACCGAGAACTATTTAGCTACATGAAAATATTAACGGCCATTACGAAGTTACTAAAACAACGAATAACAATATATTGTATTTTCCGAGAATATAAGAATTTGACTACAGTACATTGATAACACCAAAGGAAGTTGATGACCCAATCAACGTTTACCGCATAAGAACCAGAACGATATTCATTGTGATATTGAAAAAATATATGCAATGCAAACAAATGCAATGGGGAGGTAAACAAGCCCTTCAACTGGGAGCTGATTATAAACCGCAAACGGATGACCCAAACTCTCACAAATATATGTGACCAAGTTTAAACCGTGTCGTAGCCGAATCATTTGGGAATGTACTATTACAAATATCAACTAAATCGTTTACGCCATATTTTACTGCAATCTACCTTAACATGCGTAGAAATATGTCATTCACTTTTCTAAGAACTCGTGATATTGAAAATGTATTGCAAACAATGTTATACGTTTTACATTTACTTTCACTAAGCGTTACATTTACCTCTCTTTATAACATCCAAATATGATATCATTAGATTGAAGAATATACAATCAAAATGCAATTGGACAACAAAACACAGCATGGACGCGGCGTTATAATGCATTCGAATATTGGTCAGGGATTTGTCAATTGAGGGAAAATGATATATAATTGTGTTTGCTATAATTGCAATAGGTATCGATGACTACTACCATGTTCAGTATCGACCGAAACCAAGCCGACACCAATAATGTATCAATACAATAATAAGACAAGATCACGTTCAAAATTATATAATTTACCCCAGTTTCCTATTTTGAAATATATGCCCCACACATTGAATATTTTAGAAAGAGTAAATTATTATTATACTATATTGTAAAAAAAAACTATATACATGGCATATCAGCGATATCAATGAGAACCAGTGTTCAAAATCTATGTTAATTTGTTTTTATAACATACTTGTAGTTCTTGTCAGTTTAACGAGTCCCCTCTTGAAAGCTGTCCTTAATTTATTCTTCATTTGAAAGTTTTTGGTTCCTCCTGTCACTGAAATGACTATATTAGGCTTTGGAAGGTGCCACAGGTTAATTAAAACTGCCAGTAGCCTGTCACATGACCCTTGGTTATCTCTGTTGTCAAATTCGTTCACACGGATGTACTAGAAAATGACAATTGTTAAAACCATCGCATGTGCATTGTAGAGCTGTAAACTTCTTCAACAAAGCAATATAACAGACATACAAATACATCTTTTCTGTGATAATATGATATGCAATTTAATTACAGGGAACAACGTTTGTCTCATCAAATATATTGAAGGTGACAACTTATTCTAAGTTATTATAGGTGTCTACTTATAGTTGAACCACTAACAGAAGAATTATCATAATGAAGTGTCACAGCAATTACATTTAGCATGATACGCCACATATTTATATCATACTGACAACTGACCAAGTAGTACTTACTATTGGCTAATCTAAGTGTAGGATTCAATCAGAGAGTTTTACATACTGTTTTCTGTTTCTGAATAGGGAGTAGTACCCATCGTTTCTTCTAGAGAGAAAGTGTTCCTTTTTTTTACGTATTCCGGCGTTTTATGTAATAATGTAAAGTTTTGTTGGGTTCGCAATTTACACATTAAAATCCTTTATCATTTTGTCGGGAAACAATATAGGTATAAGAATTATCCTTCTACATTGTATAGCGGGCGAAGCATATTAATGCAAAATGGCTAGAGTTGTACAATATTACATAAAAGTGGCCCCTTCACCATACAGATACCTGATAACACTGTGTTGAAGATAAGTTTTTTTAAACCCTGGTGTAACTTATAACTGTTAATAACAAATATAAATTTGCAGTTAAAGTGGTTCTGGCTTTCCCCAGTTTTCATGTAAAATTCCTTAGTCTGAGAGTTAAATAATACAAAATAGGCTTCCAAAAAGATATGCTGTTTATCTCCTAAACGTGACATAAGATAATCTCAATATTTAAACCATTGAAACATATGTTTTTTTCGAAAGTTACTGAAGACACTCAGTTTTTTGCTGCAACATACAGTTGTTACGTCCTATAAAGATTCGTCGATGATATGTGATATGCTCAAGACCTACAATATGAAGCCTACTTTTGCAATCTCTTTTTTAAGTTACCTTCTCCTCAGTAACACACACTTTACAAAAATCGACATGTCATTTGGAACGCCTCATTATCAATATTATCCGAGACGTTGCATTCTTAGTTGTGTATATTTGATTAACATCTATCAATGAAAAAAGATACTGACAGGAATTATACATTAAAATACAGTAACACCGATGTCACATCACTTACGTGCCGTGGTCTTCCAACACAATTATCGAACTCGATACGTCCACAATCGGCAGTTAAAATTCTGCTCACATCATCATGGTGTACTTGATATGATTCCCCACTGTTGTATTGCCCTCGCATGTCCACCATTGAAAAATCCTGAATTGGGAAAATAACAAAATATGAAGTGCGTGTATCTTTGTTTAATATCTAAATATATGTACATGTTTATGATCATCCAAGTTCTATATTGAAATCTTTACACCATAGAGATAATTGAACAAAACCATAACAGTGACATCAGCACACAGGAAATGGGACCAAGGAATGTTCAATTTTCTTTTATTTCATTTTTTTCTGTCTTTTCATTTATAGTTAGATATCCTTCGCTCTACACAGTTTGCATCAGCAGTGGGTTGCGAGTTATTCTATTTAAAAAGTATATTGCAATTCATTTGTGAAATTATTTCTGTCGAACTCATTTGCAGTAAATCAGTGTTGCGGATACATGATATGATCCAACTATAACACCAGATCGTCAGGCCCTGGTTGTTCAAAGTTTAGTTAAAATCAACCAGCGGTTAGTGCAAACTTAAATTGTTGCCTCTAGAAATACAAGAGCGTTATCAAAGTAACGCTCAAAATATAACAAGTTGACCTGTCGCAATGAGTCTACAGCTTTGATTTGATAAAGAATGTTCGCAATATTGATTAATGTATGTTCGAAACTTTTCAATAACCCCTGGTTATCTATAACCAGCCTTTGAAAAACCGGAGCCTGATAAACACATTAAAATGCATCATTATACAATGATCCAAGTTTGAACCTTTGAATTCTTTCTTTGGAAGAATAGAAAAACTCTGAGCTGGACACTTTGAATATTTATCCCAGCATACTACTGATATCATGCATTATAAATTTGACTATATAAGTCCTTTCAAACTTGTAAAGTAGCCCACTTCATTGAAATATATCCAATCCTTCGTATCAGGTTGATGTTGAATATATGTGATCATGAAATTATTGTTCTTGAATATACATGTATACTCAAAGAAAATTTCTGTAAAATCCTAGAATCCAGCCCTGCGATGAAAAAAACCAAAACGGGAAAACCAAATTATCATATCGGAATATTCGATGTGATGCTGCCTGATAGTTTGACACTAATGAGGAAACCTGTCTAGGCTTTACAGTTCTTGTTCACAAATGAGTGAAAATCAACAAATCCAAATAAGCATGAATCAGGAAATCCTTCTTAAACAATATCGTATGCATATAAGGAACAACAAAGCCACTTAGAACAAAAATCACCTTTACGATGAAGACATTATAATATAAAAAAAAACAGTGGTTACCAAAGCTTCAGAACTAAGTCACAAAGCGCAAAACGCGGACTGAATCCTCCTAGCCTTACGAATGATAGCTAGTTATAATCAGGATTTCTTCATTAAAAAAAATATCACGACATGTTGAACCACGATCCAACAAGAGCTGCAGAGCCCGAATAACATTTAACGCTGCCAAATTATTGGAAATAACATTTCATAAATGACAAAGGTGATGTATAATGGAACATTACCAGTGAAACTCGAAAAAAAAAATCACCTTCGTATGTACTAGTTTAGTCAGAGATCGCCAGGGGATCGGCCCTTGGAGAGTTTATAGGTTTACTATTGAGAATATATAGATATTTGTTGGCATCGCCCTCCAAGAAGACTGATTTTCGATGGCGCGACTGTGTTAAACATGTCAAGATCTAGCAGGGACACGGCTAGAGTAATCTGATAAAAATTGTCCATGTCAATTTAAAAAAAAAATTACAACCGTAATGCTAGAAAAAGAAAATTTAATATCTCTTTCTTTCTCCTATTAAATTAATGCTGAGATGTCAAAAATGCATAGTCCTTCTTTTCCGGAACTATACAGGATGGGAGGAAACTCTTACAAGACCTGACATCAGCTGACAACATTGAACGAATCCAAACTTACCATTCTGCTTTAAAACAATAGTTCCTTTTATATTTCTCCTGTCAAAACAAATATATATATATATAAATTATCTTTAATGTGATTGATTAGGCAATCAATAAGAAGAGGAACAAAATAAATTGTATTGATTTTTTCTATGTTTATTATACTATTATTTTTATTACAGAACCAATTGTGTCTTGTGGTTTTGGGGACTTTGTCTGCATATTTCCTTATAAATTATCTAACGACTTTCAATTCTATCATCACATGCTTCATCAACGTAGTCAGCTATGCAAATAGGTGCCAATCCAAGTCATGACACAATCTCAAATGGCCATTACTTCAGTAATGTATGAAAGCTAACAATAAGGATAGAAACTCCCTTTTTAAAGAGTTTTGTAGTAAGGCACAAATGTTAATGTAAAAAATATTGATAATTTAATTTAATCATTCAATAGCAAAAGCTCAAAAATACACGTTAGATTGTTTTAAACCTACCGTGTTTTCAGCATTCCCAATCCCCAAAATCTTCCATTAGCTCAATCATCAAGAAAGTCGACTGTTCAGCACCTATCCTTTCTACTACGTCTAAAACAGTTTCATCGTATTTGTCACATGTCCAATATCTCATGCTTCTTGTTCTGTCTGTAAGTATTCAAATTGAAACAACAGAACAACCATTGCATTTATGTACAATTTCGTCTGCTCACCCATTCTAAATATAAATATAATTCTGCTTGTATTTGACGGATTAGGTCTTCTCAATATAATTATGTTTAGATTCAGAATCAACTGTTGCTCCCTCTCTGGTAAAAAATGAAAATTAAAAAAAATAAATAAATAAAGGAAATCCAGGCAAATTTACCAGTTCCGAAATGAGCATAATTTAAATCAAGTATTAAGTTTGTTTTATTCTATCGCCCTGTGAGCAGCGATAATAATGTTCAAGCTTGATATCTGTGTAGTAGCTTGTGGTGACCTTACTTAACAGTATAGCGGAGGACCGCCACGTGCCGTCCGTAGCAATTAAGATTTGATGTTTTGATCATAACGAAAAGGGGGCGTCGATCCTCTCATCTCAGATCTTCACCTGAGTATTCGTAGGTCACGGCTCTAACCGATTGAGGTATCGCGGCCACTCGAGTGCTCTAGTCGTACAGTATAGTGTAAGTACAGTGCAGATATACAGAAGGAAAGCCACTGAATATATGTAAAAAACACAACATGAGCTTACTTGAAAATGTGAGATATTGTATAATCAAAGTTTTATAGCTACAAAGACTGTATACGAGTATCCTTTATTTATATCTACTTTTTTCTGCACTCAAATCAAATTTCGCAGTCGTTTCCGGACGTGACTTCCGGGTTGGTCCTTTGCGTTTAAGGCCTTTTTTCCGATGTCAGCGCTCGCCTCTTTTAAAGGATGACATATAACAGTTTATAATACAGTATGTTGGCGTTTATTGCTTCATGTATCGTATGAAATGAATTAAAATGTTTTGATAAAATATCTAAAAGGATTTATAGGTGCAATTGTTCGATAAAATTATTTCCTTATATTTCATTATTTTAACAAATGAACACGATTGTAAAACATGAAGATTCCCATCATTACTCTACATCTACATTTATTACTTATTATCTGTAAGGTAAAGATTTCCTCCATCAATCCCTAGAAATACGACCATGACTAAATGGCGAAGAATACAAACGTGTATTATGACGTCTTCACGCGTCACTAAGGAAAGAAAGTGAGTTGTCGTCTCAAGCGTAATTAGTACGGGAAAAAGTTCACACTAGTTGATGTATATATATATATGTCATGACGTTGAGAGAAGTCTAAAAAAATATCGGTACTGACAGTCATTGGCTAAAATTGTCAATCAATACTTTGTGTATCCCTACGTTTACCACAACGATGCAATGACAAGCATTGCTTTATGGTTCCGTCCTTGCTTTATGAATTCGTGCATTTCCAGACCTGATCACTAAAACTGTTTAAGGCATTTTCTCACCACTATACACAGTTATAAAAGTAGGACTTTAGTAGTGCCTTCCACTAATATTCAATATCACGAGATATAACAAGATGTCCACAATTGACAGACAAACTCACAGTCCTCTAATAATATTGATGATTTGATCTTCAATGCATATTCAGCTTGACTTTCCGTGAAAATTTTAGTTAAACAATGTCAAAAAATATCATTAAAATTGAACACGTTTGAATAAACAATGTAAGAACACGATTTATTTATCAGGTTTGAGCACGGTTGAATAAACTATGTTTTACACATGTAATATAACTTATTATCAACGTAATTTATAACATACTGCAGAGTAAAATCAGTAGAGCTCTTGCTACATGCAGATATTGTCAGAATATGAACAAATATATATATATATATATATATATATTAACTTACCGAACAAGCAGAATCTGTTTTATAAAACATGACATTGCATACCTTCCTTATAGACAGTAATGCTTACTACAGGTCACCATAAACAAGGCTCGTTTAAAACTCGGAAGAAATCCGGCCTCTTATGATGATTGACAGGAGAACCATCATTGAACAGCTATATTCAATAGGCAATCAGTTTGTACTGAAAACGAGTCTGACACTTGAAAACATATATGATCTGTTACCACCTCGTTTTACCGAATGGATGTAATGAGAGAGGTAATGAGCAAGACAAAACTTTGAATTGTTTGAAGTTCTGAATGATACTAGTATTGGAAAATATATGTAGAATAAAGCAATTTGCTTGTTTTCTCAAGCAACAACGTAAAGCTTATTTTGAAAATTACATAAATAATGAAAAAATCAACATGATATGACATCGGGAAAATAATTCCGACAACATTTCCGAAATAATCAGTCAAAGGGATATGACATCAGTGAGTTCCCAGAGTTATTGAACATTCTAGATGATAGTGGTATGCTACCTAGGATGAATCAGAGTACAAGGGATGATATCAGACAGATTCACAAGGAAGATATTTGATGTGTAATAACATAATTCAGTCCCTTGAGGGAATAAAAAAACTTGACAAGAGATTTGATACTTCCAATGGAAGAAAGAAGACTTTATACCAGAATCCTTACAATGTAGTGAACCATGTGGTGACACAGGGGAAATGAAACAAAATAAGTTCGTATATATA